GTGGGGGGGGGGGGGGATTGGATTGCTGCTGTGGCTGGCAGGCGCAGTATTATATGCATCGACGCATTGTGGGTTCAATGCTGCCGTTAGGAGGCGGCCGAGGCGAGCTGCATCTCGAGGACCTGAAGCGATGACGAGGCCTGCCAGGTATCGTATGTGGAGGGAAATCCGACGTAGTGGACGAGGTGGAAGCAGACGCCGTTGACGAGCTTGGTGCCGAGTACTTCGACTTCATAGACCCGTGAGTGGGAGGCCTTCGGTGGGACAAAGGTCTCTGAATGCGAGGCGAGGGCAGCGGCGCGGGTCATCTGCGGGGCGGCGGCCGACTTTGCCGGCATCGGCTTCTTGCGCGGCGGCTCTGGGATCGGGAAGAGGGGAGTGGTGGAGAGGGCAGCGGCAGCGGCGGAGTGTGATGTAGAGCGCTTGCGCTTGGAACCAGCCTTGGACGACGAGGCGAGCTTGAGCTTGCCGCCGCTCGAGCCGGCGAGGCGCGGGATGGACGACTTGCCGGTTCGTCTGCGGACGTACTTGAGCTGCGGCGGGGCCTCGGGCACAGGCTCGCTCTCGATGGCATCCGAGAGCATCATGTCGAGGATGCTCGAGGTGGCACCGGACGAGAGCTCGTCGGGGAGCGAGCTCGACGCCGCCAGCCCGGCTCTGACAGTATCCGGGTACTCGGCAACGCGCGAGAGGTGGTGCGACGGCGAGGCGCCCAGACCATTCGAGTCCGACTGGGCCATCGACGAGAGACCCGAGGTGCCGGCAACATAGGCGAGTGACTGGCGCGGATCGGTGGTCGACGCGCGTCGCATCGACGGTGACGCAAACGGCGATGGCGGAACCATGCCCTCCAGCCCGTTGACCGAGTACCGCGCCATCGACGCATGATTAAGCTCGAGGTTCAGCCGCTCGGCGGCAGCCTCGGCCACGTGCAGGCCCGAGCCCGGAAGCAGGCCACCGTCAAAGGTGGTCGGCGGAAACGACGGCGTCCGCGGCGTGCCCACCATGTGCGGATGGCCGCCGCGTGCCGAGCGCGGGGTCGTCGGACCCGACGGCGCCATCCGTAGCGGCGTCGACGGAATGGAGCCTGCAGGCGTTGCCGCCACCAGTGCCGGATGCAGCGAGCGCGGCGGCGAGTCGTGCGAGCCGAGCATGCTCAGGTCGAGGTGGGTAAGGCCCGTGGGCGGCGCCGGCGATGCTGCCGGCTCAATGCCCATGCCCATGGTGGGGAGGTCCAGGTCCGACAGCAGTGACCCTCCCTCTCCCGTCGGCAGATCGCCATGTCCGCCGTCGTCATTCATGCCCATAACCACGCCCATGTCCATGCCCATGCCCAGACCCAAGTCGAGGTCGACGGAATCCAGCGAGAGGCCCTCAAAGGCGGACTCGCCCGACTCGTTCATGGCGCTCTGTCCCGAGGTGTGGGAAGGGGGAGGGTGGTAGGCAGTGGCTGTAGTTGTGAGAGTGGTGGTGGTGTGGGCGGGGAAGGAAGTGGGGTATAGCCAGACTGCGGGAGGTGCAGAGGCAAGGAGTTGCAGAGGCAGCAGCAAGGAGCCATGCCAAAGCGATCGCGAGTGCCGTCAAGCCGGAGCATGGTTTTGTAGCATCGACTCAATGCTGCCGACTGCCGGCTGGTGGCCGGGCGATCGAGCAGGCAACGGATGCTGCTACCGTCTGCTGTGGTCTGCTACTCGACTTTGCTGTGACTCTCACCGCTCTGCGCTCAACTCTCAGCTGCTGGGATACACCTCTCCCTCCCCTCCCCTTCACCCCCCCCCCCGCCCCCCTCCCAACGAGACAGAGCTTGCAGGCAAGGGTACACGAGCAGGCGGAATGGCGTCCATCTCGGACATTGTCGACTCCAAGTGGGACGACGTGGACCCCAACGAGCCGTCGGACAACCCGGGGCTTGAATACTTCTTCGGCGACGACAACAGAGTGGTCGTACTCTGGCTGTATGCCCGCTCACAGTTTGCTACCACTGTGGAGGCTCGCCCGGGTGTTGACGCGTCGACGCAGTACCCAAACTCGGCAGAGTGGGTCAACCATATTGTCTCCCGCTTTGCCCATGCCCTCCTCGTCCGCCACGTCCACGAGCCCGACGTGATTATCCACTCGGCCGACGGGGTTACCCTCGCTCGGGTCGCCGCGCCCGCTGCCGGCGCTGCTGGCCCGCCAGAGACGGTCGAGCAGCTGAAGACGGCTATGGCTGCCGTGCATCATGCCGACGGCTTGCTGCCCGACGGCGCCGACGAGCTGCAGCTGCCTGAGACCAAGGAGGCGGCCGAGCCTGGCAAGGCCGCGCTCAACACCACACCGCCGGCGGACGTCACCTTTGTGCTGGTGGCCAAGGAGCTTCAGAGCCTCGACGACATCTCGCGGTATGTTGATGCGTACCAGCCGCACATCTTCCACATCTCGGCCTTTGGCGACATGGACGGCATTCCGGTCTCGTCGTACCTGGTCAACAACCCAACGCCGAGAAGGTCATTCTCCGCTCGCTCTTCCGCAACAACAACATCCGGTGCTGCCTGTTCAACACGCCCGAGTCAAAGCGGATTGCGCTGCTCTGCTCAACAGGCGTCCACGCCTCGGTCGGCATCGACTCGCCAGACTTTCGGCCCAAGGACGGTTTCGTCTACTTTAAGACCTTTCTGGAGAACCTTGTCCTGTACGACGCCACATACGTCGAAGCGCATCTCCACGCCAACGCCGCCATCATCGCCTCGTACAAGTCGCTCAAGGACCATGCGCTCCCGCGACCCAAGATGATGGTCGCCCTCGAGCGGTTCTGGGATGACGGTGCCAGCAAGACGGCCGCACAGCCCGCACAGCCGACGCAGCTCAACGCCGACGCCCAAGGTGATGACGCTCCGGCTCTTGCCGACGACACGCCAACGTCGTCAGATGCCGAGCCGCTGCCGCCGGCGCCGACACTGCTGCCGGCGTCGGCGCTCGGTCCGCACCCCAAGTCGGTGGTGTACCAGGGCGGCGAGAAGGACTTGGCCACCATGATCCGAAATCCCGAGAACCTCAACCACGATGATCTGAAGGTACTTGCCCGGCTCACCGCCCCAAGGGGGGGCCCTCAGCCGACTGCTGCCCGATCCGACGTCGACTCGCTGATGAACGCGCAGGCCGCCCTGGGCCCGAGCGAGCGGGTGATGGTCACTGCTGGAAGTGACGAAGGTGGTAGCGTCGCCGGCGACGGCAGTGGCCGAGCAGGGGCCGGCCCGATGAACCCGATGCGGCCGCTCGCCATCCGGTCGTCCAAGATCAAGGCGTCGGTGGTGACGCAGGCGCCCGTGGCGGCGGCTGGCGACCTGGCGTCTGCGACCGACGCGGCGTCGTACCACTGCATTCCGACGCTGGCTGCATACAAACGGCATAGTGTGACCCGGCTGGACATCGAGGCCGGGCCCACCGACGTCGACATGGACGACGACGCGTCGGTCAACACCCGGTTGCTGGCGTCGGCGCTCGACCCCGAGTCGCTGGAAGCCTTTGACGAGAATGACATGTCGGTCCGGGTCTTGCAGCACTTGTGCGAGGCCGACTTTGACGAGTACATGCAGGAGAAGGCCGTGTACGTGCCTGACCCGTCGATGTATACTTCGATTGTCGCCCTCGCCCTCACCGATAAGCAGCGGTCAGAGCTGCTGGTGACGGCACGAGACTGTGCTGGCCCTGTTGCTGACGTGGACCTGGCCAAGCTCATCTACATTCCGCCGCGGGCGCCGCTGGCGTCCGCCGCCGAGTCCGAGGCTGCCGAGTCGGAGGGTCTGGGCCGGCTGGAGCCGTCAGGCGATGCCCGTGTCTCGCGCCATCGCAACATCACGACGTCGACCACAACGCGGACGCTCAACGCTGCGTCCAACCAGCAGAACGGCGGCCTGGTGGTTCACATCGGGGTCCCGCCGTCGACCGCCGCCGGCGACGCGCCCGACGCCGTCGCCTCGCTCAACACTCGCGCTGCCGAGATTGAGGCCTGGGCCGCCACCAACACGGCTCCCTCTGACCTGGTCATCATCAACTGGAACTCGATGCGCGCCGATGAGCGCGGTGAGCCGCGGAGTGGAAGCGCGAGCGGGAGCAGCGGCAGTGCGCCGCAGTCGACGGCCAAGGGTGTGGTCGACGAGACCGCGGTCTCGCGGCTCTCCGCCGGCTCGCCCACCTTTGACGAGGCCGACATTCCGGACTCACGCTCGGTCGCACTCTTTACCTACGACACTGAGCGGGCCGACGACCTAACTCAGCTGTTCTGCATGATGGCCAAGGCCCAACAGCCAGCCGGCGGAAGCGAGGCCGAGGCCAAGAGCGAGGCCAGTGGGAGCGATGAGACCAAGGCCGAGGAAGAAGGCGACACGCCTCTGGTCGACGAACTGTACGCCGGCCCGGCAGTGCCTGCTGCGCTGTATGTGGTTGGCTCGCCGGGTTGCGGCAAGACGTCGTTCCTTTCGCGGTTTGTGCTCGACGCGTACCGGTACCTCGCGCCGTCGACGACGGTGCTGCACTGGTTCTGCGACGTGCGCGATCTCGACTCGCTCGAGCCGTACTACTTTATCCACGGCATCTCGGCACAGCTTGTGCGTGCCATCCCGCACCTGCGCGACGCGCTCCACCGGGTCCGCAAGCTCCTCTCCCCAGGCAACGTGGCCCGAAACCCGGTCAAGGTGTTCGAAAAGGCGGTCCTCGCCCCGCTATCGGCGTACTTTACCGAGCTCGCGGCGGTCTCCAAGCACAACGCAACGCTCGCCGACGATCGGCTCTCGACCATGGTTGTACTGGTCCTGGACGGGCTCGACGAGTCGCTCGCGCTCCCAGACAAGGCGCCAACCTGTGGCCTCCATACCATCCACTCGATCCTTGCGGCGACGCCCGAGGAAGCCTTCCCGCCGCAGTTCCGGTTGGTCATCTCGACAGCCGGCGATGCAAGCGGAGCTCCGGCTGCAGTTCTCCCGCAGCCGTGCTTTGCGCCAGCGGCGCTACCATCACGGTTTGGCGGGCTGTGTGGGACGGTCAACCTCGATCTCGACCCAGTCGACGTTCTCGAAGCGCTCGTCCAGTACGAGGCTGCGCTGGAGGGCTCGGGGGGGCCGCTCACAGGCGGGCTGGCGGCAAGTGGGCCGGCGCATCCGGGCGCGGCGCAGCCGAGCGCGCTGCTCAAGGATCCCGCCATGCGTGAGCTCTTCCACTCGCTGCTCACGGTCCGGACGGGACCACACCGGCTCTCACTCTTCCAACTCCACACGCTCTACTACTGGTGCGACCCGGTGACCGACATGGACGGCCTGCGGCGGCTGGTCGACGAGCCTGAGCTCGACTTTTACCAGTGGCTGGTGTACGAGAAGGCACTGTGCCTCTCGCTCCCGCCTTCGGCGCCGCTCTACGACGCGCTGCTGGAGACGCGCCAGCCAGCGGTCCTTGCCCTCGCCATGGTCCTCACCTCTGTCCAGCTTCTCTCGCCGACGCTCCTGCTCGACGCCATGGACCTGACGTACCCTCAGATCATGTTTGCCTCGCGGACGCAGAGCCTTGCGCTGCTCGAGGGCCAGCTGATGCCGCTGCTGGAGACGCAGCTGGACCCGCTGCTAGACCTGGCCGAGAGCGAGGGCGGCGAGAGCAAGCCGGCGCGAGCGGCGGGTGAGAGCGGCCAGCCGAAGCGTTCGCGGGTACGCTGCCGCAAGCGGGTCAGGCGCAGCGCCGAGGAGGCGCTCGACAAGCTCGACCTCGACCACGGCGTCACTGAGATTGCCGACTCGGACGAGTACGAGTACGAGTACGAGTACGAGACCCCAAGCAAGGTCGAGGGCGGCGCGAGCGCCAAGCTGCCCACCGGCAGCGCGAGCAACGCTGGGGCCGGCGACGGCGGTGAAGGCCCGGATGACGCACTGACATACATGGAGGACAACTTTCTGGTCCCGTATTCGTTCCGCGACCCGTACCTGCGGTATCCGACGGCGCAGGTGCGGATGTCTGTGGCGCACGCGGCGCTGCTAGAGTGGCTCGATGGGCAGGATGAGCTTTTGGCTGACGGCAAAGGACTCGCACACGCGGTGCTAGCCGTGGTGTGGATCACGGCATCGTTCCTCACCGAGACGTCGCGGATCTCGGGCGCCGACGCGCTCCAGGCGCAGTTGGATGCCTTTGTGGCGACGATCCGGCCCGAGGCGCGCCAAAAGTTTACGGTCTCGGGCGCAACCGAGGCCTTTGTGCGCCGGTACTCGACATACGAGCGGTTCTCGCTCGTGGCGCAGCACCTTGCGCGGGCCGAGTGCGGACGGCCTGAGCAGCGCGCGGCGCTGCTCTCGTCGTGCGTCGACGTCAACGTGGTGACCGACAAGGGCAATCTGTCGCTGTTTATGGAGGCGGCATGGCGCGGTGACGTGACGCTGGTCGAGTTCCTCCTCCACCTCGAGGATCTGGACGTCAACGCGCGCAACTACGACGGGGCGTCTGCGCTGCACTTTGCCGCTGGGTGGGGCCAGGCCGAGGTTATCGAGCTCCTGCTCTCGTCGCCGCTCTCGGGTCCAGTCATAGACGTCAACTCGATCTCGAAGATGGGCTGCTCGCCGCTGTACATGGCAGCGGAGCGTAACCACGTGGCGGCGGTCGACGTTCTTCTCACGGCCCCGGATATCGACGTCAACCTGACGGGCGACATGAACACGCCGCTGCATGTAGCGGCCGCACTTGGATACGTCGACGTGGTGGCGTCGCTGGTCTCGCACCCGCGGGTGGACCTCAACGCAGTCGGGCACATGAACTGCACGCCGCTGCTGATGGCGTCGTCAGCCGAGGTACTCGACGTCATTCTCTCTGCCGACGGCGTCGACGTCAACTGCTCGGACCAGGACGGAATCACACTGCTGTACTTTGCGGCGCAGCGGTCAGACGTCAAAACGGTGCGCAAGCTGCTCTCCATGCCAGGCATCAACGTGTCGCCGGTGGAGAGCATCAACGGCAAGACGCCGCTGCGCGTGGCAGCCGACAAGGGCTCTTCCGAGATTGTGCGACTGCTGCTAGAAGTGTGCGAGCCGGAGGCGGTCAATGACGTGGCCGCCGACGAGTTCTCCATCCTGCAGTCTGCCGCCGAGTACGGCCACACCGGGGTCGTTCGCGAACTGGTGGCCATTCCGGCTCTCGACGTCAACGCCAAAAACGCCAAGGACGGCCTCACTGCGCTGCACTACGCGGCAGCCAAGGGCCACGCCGGCGTTGTGGCCGCCCTCCTCGACCGCCACGACCTCGACGTCAACATCCTCAACCGTCACATGTGCACCGCCCTCTACACAGCGGCAATGCACAACCATGAGGCGGTGGTGGCCGACCTGCTCGCGCGCGGGCGCAACATCGACGTCAACCTGCCGGACTCGCACAAGTACACGCCGTGCCACATTGCAGTGGACAAGAACAACCTCGACGTGGTCATGACGCTGCTGGACAACCCTGAATGCAACATCAACGCGCCGGCCGAGATGGGCCTCACCCCGCTGCACGCCGCGGCCTACCGAGGCAACGCCGAGGTCGTGCGCGTCCTCCTCCTCGCGCCGGCGCTCGACGTCAACGCCATGGACAAAGAGTCGCGGACACCGCTGCTGGTGGCTGCCATGCACGGCAAGCACAAGGTGTGCGAGCTGCTCGTCCACGACTCGCGGGTCAACGTCAACATTGCCGACCGTCACGGGTACCTTCCGCTGCACATGGCGGCCGACAAGGGCCGGCTGCTCTCAGTCCGGGCCCTGCTCTCGGTCCCTGGCGTCCACGTCAACGCCGCCGCCGAGCAGGGTGTCACCCCGCTCCACGCGGCGTCATACGAGAATCGACGCGACGTTGTGCAGGAGCTGCTCTCGTACGAGGGCATCAAGGTCAACGTCGCCGCCGCCAAGGACGGCGCGACGCCGCTGCAGATCGCATCCGACCGTGGCAATGCTGAGGTTGTCGAGCTGCTTCTTGAGGCCGGTGCCGTCGACCCCCGCGGCAAGGCCCGCAAAGCCGCGTCGGTCAAGGGCTACCTCAACATCGTGGCGCTCCTCGACGCGCCGCGATGCGGGGCCTGCTTTAAGAGCTCCACAACGCTGCAAGAGTGCGCCGGCTGCCACAAGGTCGTCTACTGCTCACGCACCTGCCAGAAGCGGGCATGGAAGGAGCACAAGTTTGTGTGCAATAAGCGTAAGCGGTGATCGTAAACTTTGTCTTGATGATCTGTGGATGGTGCAAGGGGGGGGGGAGAGGGGGGGAGAGAGGGGCGAGAAGAGCGGCCACCGAATGATTCCGCCAGCCAAAGAATGGGCAAAGTGCAGCCTGCAGGGGGGGGGGGGGGAGAGGGGAGGGGGGGAGGTCAGGCCAGCTCATTGCACCACTCTACTACGACTGCAACATGCCCAAGCGTGAGGCTGAGGCTGCGCCCGTGCTGCGTCGGAGCAAGCGGAACAAGCCGCTGGCCCGTGCGGCCCCTGGGTCCGCAACGGAGAGGGCGACTGGGGTGACGGCGACCAAGACCAAGACCAAGACCAAGGCCAAGACCAAGACCAAGGCCAAGACGGCGACCAAGACCAAGACCAAGCCCAAGGCCAAGACGGCGACCAAGGCTGTGGCGACCAAGAAGGGCAAGGCGACGGGCGGGACGGTGATCGGCATTGAACGATGCTACTCGTGACGCACGTATGCGCGCAAGGCCAACGAGCTCCGCGATGCTCTGGCCGGCGCGTTCCCTGACCATGAGGTGGTGGTCAACCCGCCGGCGCTGGTGCCGGCCGGGAGCCGCCCGCGGCGTGGCTCGTTTGAAATCGTCCTCATCGCCGGTGGGCCTGACGGCGCGCCCGACGAGCCGCTCTGGTCGGGCTTTGCCATCAAGAAGCCGCCGCGCAAGGCCAAGTTCATCGACCATGACAAGGCCATTGCGCTGGTGCAGGCTGCGCTGAGCTAGCTCCGTGCGCCGCCTCCGGCCCCTGTAGCCTCCAGTGATAGCCCCTGCGACTGCAACCGCCGCGCCCATGACGACGCTCTGCGCCACCACTCGTCACGGCGAGTGCCCGGAGCCGTCCGAGCCTGGCGGCGGTTACCGCTGCAATACACGCCTCTCTGGAGCCGCCATGGTCCGTGTCCAGCCCACAACTAGCCCGCTTGCGCACAGACCACTCCGTCCCGCAGGCCTGCCGTCTCCGGCACCGCTGCCGCTGCTCCCGCAGGCGTCACCTCTGCCTGCGTCCTCGGCTAGGCAACCGCCGCCTGCAGCCCACGCCGCCGCTGTCCCACCTCACCGCCGCCCGCTGCTTCCGCCGCCGCCCACACCCACCGGACGCATCCTCGCCCGCTCGCGCACGCCTGCTGCTGCCTCGCCCTTGCCCTCGCCTTTTGGCGGTGTAGGCCGAGCTGCCGCCCATGTCTGGCCGAGCACGCGCTCGCCTAACGCGGCGGCGACGCCCATGAGCCGGGCGGGGCCGGGCACGCCCGGGGGCTTCCCGCCCGTCGCCCCGCATCGCGACCACGCACGAATCAAGCCGCGCCAGCGCTTTGAGCCGCCTCCGGCCACGCCAACAGCACGGATCTTGGCAGCGCGGGCAGAGGCTCGAAGCGCCATCGTTGCCATGCCGCCGCTCGAGGCGCTGCGCCCGCCAACGCCTCCTGCTGCCGGCTATCCGCGCGGCGTCATGGGCTGGTTTGCGCTCTACGCCGTCGGCTACATGGCGCTCGGTGTGGCGGGCCTCGCGCTCTCAGTCTACTGGGTCTACAGCACCGTGCCGCGCACGCCGGCGTCGTCGCCCGATGCCGAGGACGAGGTCTGTTCCTCGCAGCTGCGGTCGTTCTTTGACGTTGCCACGGCAGTTTTCGCGATCGCCATCTTGCCCATGCTCTACAGCGTCGTCGCTTGGTCATCGGTCCTCCACGTTGGGCCTAGCTTGTCGGGTGGCTTTGCGGCGCCGGCCGGCAAGGTCGGGCTCGCCACCATTGTTGTCGGTGCTGCTGCGGTCGGGCTCGCCGTTGCCGGCGTTGTCCACGGCTTTAACAAGGCCAGTGTGCGGCGCCGGCCAACGGCGCACTCATCATTGCTGCAGTCGCCCTGGGCATCTTTACTCTCCCCATCGTTTACTTTGGAGTCATGCACTCGGTAGCGTCCCGAGCAGCGGCGCGGGCGCGGGCAGTGGCACGGTCGAAGGCTCATGCGCTCGCCATGGCCCGTTGGGCCACATAGTTGAGCAGGTCGCGGCCGGAGGAAAGGGTTCCGATGGACGCGCCGTAGCTGCAGGTCCAGCTGTAGAGGTCGGCAACTGTGGCCGAGTTAGCCACCACGGTGGCGACCGTCGCCTCGAACGCCTCGGCCAGCTCTACATCGCCAAAGGTGAAGTACGCCAGCGGTCGGCCTGCAGCGGCGGCAGCCATCCACTGGAGCAACGCCTTGAGCTGCTTGCATCCGCCAAAGGCGCCGCATCCCCAGTTTCCGGTCGCGACAGGCGGCAGCTCCTCGGGATCGGAACGGTGGCGCGCAAAGGCGGTCAGAGCCTTGCGCAGCTCGCGATCGATGCAGGCGCGGCTCCACTGGGCCTTGGCGTCCTCTCGGCAGTAGAAAGGCAGGGCGTCAAAAGCGACAATCCGTGTGAGGAACGAGCCGGACTCGGGATGGCGCGGCGAGCCATCAACGTGCGAGCCGGCAAACTTGAGCGTCTGCGCGTAGCCCGAGTAGTTGCAAAACCGCTCGGCGCCCTCCATGACGATGACCTCTTCGGCTGTCATCGGGCGCGGCGCGAGCAGCCTTGCTACCAGCAGCTGCGGGTAGACAACGCCAAAGTAGATCTCCTCTTGCACCGCGCCGTGGGTGAGCACCGCGCCGCCGAGGAAGCGGTTGGCAAAGTCGGCGAGGACCATGCCGGCGGCGCCGCCATTATCCTCGATGTTGCCCGAGTCAAAGATGGCCACAGATGCTGTCGCCATGTGTATGTCTTGCGCGTTAGCCCAGTCTGGTATTTCGGCATCTGGCATTGCGATGCGGCTCACTGAGAGGCTGCCGTGGCGCGGGGGATCGTGGAGTGAGCGCGCAAAGTACTCCACCACAGCATACGCCTTGGCCTTGTTTGCCCGCATGGAGAAGATCGGCGCGAGCGAGAAGCCGGTCTCGGCCGGGAAGAGCGAGAAAAACGCGGCGCCGACGAGTGCCAGAACATTCGTATAGGTAGCCGCAGTCGAGTCGCCGGCGGCATCGACTTGTGCCGGCGCCGCGTCCGCGTCCGGATAGTGTTGTGAGAGGGCGTGGACGGCGGCGACGAGGGCGGGGAGGGTGGCCGAGAAGAACGAGGCGTCGACCGCATCCCATGACAGCCGGCGCAGTAGAGCATAGTTGCAAGGAGCCGGTGTGCGGTCGCGGCCGCTGTGAACAAGCTCGGCGCCGTCGCCGTGCGCCGCCACGATGACGGCAAGCGCATCGGCCAACCCATCACCGTCGCGCGGTAACCCATCGCCAGACGCCGGAAACGTGGCGCAGAAGGCCTCCCATGGCGCAGCCGCCCGCCCAGACTGCAGATGTGGCATATAAGGGTAGAGCAAAGTGTGTCCATGGCGATAGCCAGGCGATGCGGAAGCTGCGCGACGCACGAGGGTGGAGGCCGTGCTGCTGTGGAGGCCGAGTCAAATGCGCCGTTGCTCGAGCGCGGCTTCCATGGGCCAGAGGTTCTGGAGAAAGCCGTCGATCCAACGGGCCATACTTCGATCGATGGCAATGCAGAGGCAGTCGTCAGGGAGTAGCCGACTTGGTGGGTCCCAGGACGGCTGCTGCCCTGGCGAGACCCAAGCCACACGCGCCGACCAGCTGTGATCGGCCAACGTCCGCGTCCCAACCGGTCGATGCGGCTGCGATCCATTCGGCGCGTCACGACGACGCCACCGCCCGGGGGCCCAAGGCTGGGGCGGGTGGCCGCGGTCTCGCCTGCAGCAGCACACTCGGCTCAGTACAACCCAAGCATGTTGCGGAGTGCGCAGTGGGTGGCTCGGGTGAGCAGGCAGGGGTGGCAGGCGGTTGGTGCAGTAGGCGCTGTAGGCGCGGCTGCGGGCGTCGGACGGTCGAGGCCGAGGCCGCGGGCGGCGAGCGGGGTAGCGTCGCCCGAGGCGCTGCAGCGGCTGGCTGAGGACGCGGTGACGTCAGCGCAGGAGCAGATCGAGGCGCTGGTAGGGCGAAGCACGGCCGAGGTGCGGGCGGAGCCGGTGGAGGCGGTCTTTGCCATCGACTCCATCTCCAACACCCTCTGCCTGGCGGTGGACTGGCTCTCGCTGCTGGCGGCGACTCATCCGGAGCAACGGGTGGCATCGGCGGCCGATGCCGAGAACAACAAGCTGATGACTCTTCTGTACCATCTCAACACCCATCGCGGCCTCTACCGCGTGGCCAAGGATGTGACAGGCTCGCCAGAGACCATGGCCAAGCTCACGCCCGAGCAGGCCCGCGTCGCCTCTCTCTTCACTGAGGAGTTTGAGCGCCACGGCGTGCTGCTCGAAGCCGACGATGCCCAGCAGCTGCGCGGCCTACTCTCCCGTGGCTTTGACCTCTCGTCGCGCTTCCAGAGCAATGTGGTCGCTGCCGCGTCGGCCTCGCCGTCCCCGCAGGCCTCTTCGCCATGGCCTCGACTTCGCGCGATGCCGCCACCCGCGCCAAGGCCTTTGCCGCCTACCAGGCCGCGCTTGATCATAACGTGCCAGTTCTCGAGGAGCTCCTTGCTGTCCGCCACGCCACGGCTAAGCTCCTCGGCAAGCCCTCGTATGCCGCGTTCACCGCTGAGGAGCGGATGCTGCGCAATCCCGAGCGGGCGCAGGCCAAGCTGGAAGCCGTCTCCGCCAAGCTCAGCACCACCGTCCAGCCCGAGATTGCTGAGCTCCTCCAGCTCAAGCTCGAGACCGAGGGCCCGTCCGAGGTCACCGATCAGCTCTCGTCAGACCAGCCGCTCACCATTCCGGGCGTTGACCGCGCGCACTATGCCGCTGTCCGGCGCGAGCAACTCGGTGCCCAGTCACTCGCTTCGCAGCCCATTGCGCCGTACCTGTCGCTGCGGGCTGGGCTTGCTGGCGTCGCACACGTCACTGAGCAGCTCTTTGGCCTCAAGCTGGTGGCTGCCACCCCGCGCGCGGGCGAGACCGTTGCATCTACCGTGCTCAAATTTGAGGTTCTCACAAGCGACGGTGAGCTCGTCGGCTCGATGTATGTCGACCCTTGGCCGCGGGCGGGCAAAACCGGCGGCGCTGTCCACCTCAACGTTGTCTCGGGTCGCTCGCTGTCAACGTCGTGGCTTCCGCCGAAGCGTGATGCTTGCGCGCCGGACACAGCCTTCCTTGACCTCGACTCGGGCTCGGAGGCTGGCAAGTACCAGGCGCCCGAAGTCGCGCTCGTCTTCAACTTTGGCCACCGTGGCGTCGACAACGATCTCGGCGCGTCGCTGCTCTCGCTCTCGGAACTGCAGACGCTCTTCCACGAGTTTGGCCACGGCCTACACTCGATGATGGCGCGGACCCAGTTCCATCACGTGGCCGGCACCAGGGTTCCGCTCGACTTTGTCGAGTTCCCGTCGTCGTTCTTTGAAAGTACGCCCGCTCGTGGCCGGTCCTCTCGCAGTTCTGCAAGCACTATCAGACCGGCGCGCCGCTGCCGCGCGAGCTCTTTGACGCTCACGTCGCCAAGTCGCTCTCGTCGCAGGCGCTCAACGAGCAGGACCAGGTCTCGCTCGCTCTCCTCGACATCCACCTCCACCTCGCCCACGCTCGCGCTGATGCGAGCGGGGAGACGCTCGGCCCAGGCTGGTCCACCTCGCTCGCTGCAGACGTTCGCGCCAAGCACTCGGCCGTTGTCTGCGATCCCGCCTCGGTCCGCCACGCTCAGTTCACCCACCTTGTCACCTACGGTGCCGCCTACTACTCGTACGCGCTGTGCAAGGACCTCGCCGACGACGCGTGGGCCAAGCTCGACATGGATGCCGATCCGCTCGACCGCGCGCGCGGCCGCGCTCTCGCCAACGCTGCCTTTATCCATGGTAATGGCCGCGATCCGCTGACACAGATCGGCGACCTCGGTATCTCGCTGTAGCAGCCGTCTCTTTTCGACCAAGGTTTACGGTTACTGGTTCGGCGCCAGGTGCGGGAGCCCGTTGGCTCCCAGCACCAGCGTGTGGACCTGCCCGGCAGCAACAGCCTCGGCAAGCTTGGCGTACGACTGCGCCATAAAGTATGTAGAGAGATCGACGCCCGCATCAGCGAGCACACGGAGCTTCTCGGCCTCGAGGACGTTGCGGCTCCGTGCTCGCTCAAGCTCGGCCTCCTGCAGTCGGGTCTTGGTCTCCTCCTCGTACAGCGCGAGCTCGCGGCGGCGCTGCGTGTTGCGCATCTCGGCCTCAAGCTCGGCATCCTTCTGGAACTGAGCCTGGAACGATTTGGCCACGGCCTTATTGACGCTCACGCCCTCGATGACCACCTCTGAAATGGTGATGCCGTAGCGCGCCTCGGTGATGGTGTTGAGCGATTCGACCAGCTCGGCAGCGAGCGAGGCCCGCGACTTGTCGATCTCGGACCACGACCTCTGAGAGCAGGCCTCGCGGAGCCGCGAGGTAATCGTCACCATTGTTGCCCGCAGCGGGTCGTCCGACGTCTCTGCCGCCCGTGCAGCGTCCGTGATGCGGTACCGCACGAGAATGTCGACCTCGCACGGGTACGAGCGGGCCCGGACCTCGAGTGACGGCGGGTCCAGCGACTGCTCCGTCAGCGGCAGCGCCACCCGCCGTGACGGTTGCGTCCCGTCCCACGACCACCAGAACTCACGCTCGCGCTCCAACGGCCAGAGAAACGCGATGGTGTTGCTCAGCGTCCGTGTCACGTTGCCCATGTGCTCCACGACCAGAATCTGCGTCCGCGGCACAACCCGGATGCGCGAGACGAGGTAGACGGCGCCGAAGAACGCCGCTGCGCTGCACGCCCAAGCCCACGGGGCGACAAACTGGACAAGGTCCATGCTACGGGTGGTACAGACGGGTGGAGTGGAGTCGGTGCGCGGTGGTGCTGGTGCTGGTGGTGTGCAACGTTTTGTGGTGGTACAGCAGCGCAGGTGAGGTCAGAGGAACAAGCTACTCGGCGAATGGAACATTTGGCGAAGGAGGGAGGGGGGAGGGGGGAGGGGCTTTATATAGCCGACTTGGCATCAGCCCTACTCGCTTCGCTCATGCTGCTCGTGTCGTCGTCAATCGGGTGTGCAGGCAGTCCAGGCGTGTCGGTTGTACCGTTCTCCTCGAGCATCGCAAAGTCAGGAGGGGGCGCAGAGTCGTCGACGTCGCTAGTGTCGCCGACGTCGCCAGTGTCGCCGACGTCACTCACCTCATCGTCGCCGTTAGGATTGTTGTCGCCGTTAGGATTGTTGTCGCCGTTAGGATTGTTGTCGTCACTAGGATTGTCGTCGTCACTAGGATTGTCGTCGTCACTAGGACTGTCGTTTCCGACCTCAGGCATTGCCTCATCCATCGAGTCCGTCTGGATCGGCAGATGCGAGTCATCATCAAAGACGTCAGGGACGTCGGGGTCATCGGGGACGTCGCGGACGTCGGGGACGTCGGGGATATCGAACCCGTCACCATTGTGCTCAACAGCGCTGGAGACACTGATGTCTGCAGACGACAAAGCGAGCTCGCTGTCGGACTCCACAGCAGCAGCAGAATCTGCTTCGCCGTTCGCCTCCGTCTCGTCCGACTCTCCAAACGTATCACTGTCCGAGGAGATGCCAAGCCCGTGGTGGGCTACAGGCGCAGGTGGATCAAACTGCATCGGGCGAAGACGCGTTGTGCCCCTGGCGCTAGCCACGTCTGCCACGCTCGAGAACGTCCGCATACTGTGGGGAGCGGCGGCCTCGGCAAATGCTACAGACTGGGCTCGGCCAAACTTGGCTCCGTCAGGTCTGCTCAGCACAGCAGCTGCTCGCGGCGCGGCTCCCTGTGCAAGCGGCGATGACTGGCGCACGGGTTTCGGCTCGCCCGGCAGGACGAAAGCAACCGACTTGACCCGGCCCACAGCTGCAGCCGGGGGCTTTCTGGCCGGCCCAAAGGTCGTCGTGTTCGACCGCTGCATGCTGCTGCTCGCGCTGTGGCCCGCACCAGCGGACACCGCCGCCTGCGCCATGGCAGCGCTCGAGCTGGTGTGCGCCCGCCCGCTAGTCCTGCCCAATCGCTCGCGACGCAGCGCGGCCAGCGACCGCTCGCCGCTGCCTGCTTGAGCTCTATCGCTGCTAGCCGGTGCGCTCCACAGCATGTCCGGCGTAAACTTGGCTGAGATCGACCGCAGCGCAGAAAGCCGCTCGGCAAGACGAGCTTCCGAGCCCATCCGCGACGAGCTGAGACTGGAGGTCATGCAGCGAGCCACCGCAGGCGACGGCGCCTCAGTCTCGCGGGCCCATCCGCCGTGGCGGCCTCTTTGTCCGCCGTCGCATCCAAGACTGGTGGCTGCCGCGTCGGCTCGCTCCGCCGCTCTGAGTCGGTCATCGATGGAAGAGATCCACTGCCGAGGGGCACAGCCACCTCAGGCCGTTCACTTGACGCCGACGAGTGCGAGAACGACGAGCTTGACCGCGCCGCGTCGGCAAGTGACTCGTCACTGTTATCGACATCGTTGCTCTTACCATTCGCCTCAATCGTGCTACCGCCATCGCCCGCCGCACTCTCGCTGCTAGAGGCAGGATGCAGGGAAATGTTAGGTGCTTCCTGTGTCGGTGTCCGCATTAGCGTCTCGTCCTTGCGTGCATCTGTGGACACACTAGCGGTCGCAGCACTCTGGATCGCACGGTCTGCACGGGCTCCGCGCCGAGCGTAACATACCATGCCAGCCAGCGCAAGACATGCCAGGAGAACAAGAACGAGAGCGGCGACACTGATCGCGCTGGCGTGTGGCAGCCACTCGTCATCGCTTGCGTCTGTGCCGCGTCCCGGCGCTTCGTCAGTACCGCCCAACGGCGGCGGCGGGGAAACAAGTGGCGGCGGCGGTGACGCTTCTACCGGTGGCGGCGGCCCACCATACCCAAGCCCGTTCAGGTCTGGTGCATAGTCAGCCAGGCCAGTGGCATCGTCAACGAGACCGACAACAGGCTCGACGCTCTCATCGCCAGCAACAAGAAGGTGCGACCAGACCCGTCGAGTCATAAACGCCTCCAGCCCGTTGCCGCGCGAGACAAACGAAAACAGCAGCGACGGGTCCTGCAGCGGCATCCACGACCAAACACTCGACACACTCGCGCCCGAGTAAACGTATCCGATGCCACGGTCGATGAGCGCAAGAGCAACGTAGCCGTCTGAGAGCGCGTATCCTGCCCGTGGGCTGCCACGGCTGGCAAAAAAGATCTGGAACCTGGATGTCGACGACGGCACGGTTCCGGTCGCCGCGTGCGTCGAGGCAAAGACGGCCACAACAGAGTCGTCTGATGCTGCAAGGACCTCGCGCAGATCGTCGCGTGGATCAGCGACACGGCTCGCAAAGTGCCGAGCTGCCGATGGACCCAGCGCCGGCTGCAGGTCGCCAACCACGTCATGAGCAACAGCAACTTGAACTGGCGGCGCTGGGCTGCCCGACATGAGCGGCGCCCAGTCGCCAGCGTTGCCATCGATGCCGAGCCGCACTACTGGCGTGACGATATCGGGCGGCGAGGTCGGCGGAGGGCTTGTCGGTGGTGATGGCGGTGGCAGTGGCCCAACATCAGGCACACGGTCCTTGACATCGTCATACAGGTTGCCAATCGTCCCGCGATCCGACCGCAGCTCGGCGTAAATCTCCATGTGCGTTGCCGCCGGAATAACTCCAGACCAGACTAGGTGCGCAATAGAGACCTCAGTGTGGAACTCCGACTGCGCGTGGGCGTACATCGAGGCAGCCAACCGACGCCACTTCCACTCGGACGACCGGTCGAGCCCATCGTACACATATCCAACACCATCGTAGATGAGTGCCACCGCATACACGCCCGGCACCACCTCATAGCCCGCTGAAGGCACAGTTGGCGCCCCAGGCGCAAAGAATATGCTCTCGTGCGCTCCGGAAAAGCCGCCAGCCACACGCGGGCCGTGAGTCGTGAGCAAAGCCGCCGTCGATGTCCGCGACGACGTGTAACGGAGCCGCGCATAGTCATGCCCGGGCGCTTCGATTGCTGTCCATGCCGAAGAAAACGTGCTGAGGCCGTCGCTGAGAGAGTCGGCCACGTCGCGATGGTAAAACGCGGACCACTCGGCATCGCTACCGTCCACCACTACGCCCAGCTCTTGCTCCAGCGGAGGGGCGGGTGGCGGTGGTGACGGCGGCGGTGGCGGTGGTGATGGAGGCGGCGGTGGCGATGGCGGTGGCGGTGGCGGCTGCGGCGATGGGGGTGGCGGCGGTGGTGATGGTGGCGGCGACGGCGGCGGCGGCGATGGCAGCGGCGGTGGTGCTGGAGGTGCTGGAGGTGCTGGAGGTGGCGGCGGTGAAGGCACCGGCGCCGGTGGTGCCGGAGGTGCCGGGGGAGGCGGCGGTGCAGCAACTGGTGGCGGTGCCAGATTCATACTCATGAACGAGGTGGCGTCAGGAACGGCCTTTTCGCCGCCCGATGTGGTGATGGCAACATGAACCACCAGCTCGTCGGCAAGGACGCCTTGCTCAGCCGCAGCACGGCTGAGATCGCGGCGCGAAATAATAAAGTCGACGCCAGCCGATATCGGGGCGAGGACCGCCCGCGAGATCTGCTCACTGTCCGCGACTCGTGTCCACGCCCACTCGGTGCCCGAGCCATCGTAGAAGAACGGCTCTGAGTTGATAAAGGCCATGGTGGCGGCAAAGCCCGGCCCGCCAACGGTGGAGAAGCCGTCGACGCCGACCAGCCCAACAAAGACAATCACGGTTCCTCCGTACGCCGTCGGTCGCAGCAGATAGTCAGCGTCGGCCCCATCGGCACGCAGCCGGACCACCGCCGCGTGCTTGCCAAGCGACAGCGTGGCCGAGGTGACGTCACCTCCGGCATCGACGCCGGGTGTGCGCTCAAACGTGTACCGCGCCACCGCAGCGGGCGGACGTGGTGCAGCATCCCAGTCTGGATATCCTGGAGCTGCGGGAACACACGGCCAACCGCAAATACCTCCGCAGTCGATGGCCTCCTCGCTGGCATCATGGAGGCCGTTGAAACAGTCGAGTGCGTACTCGCACTGGGCGCGGCAGCCTCCGCCGCAGTCGGGCCCGGCTTCGCCCGGCCCACGCAGGCCATCAACGCAGTTGGGAATCGCAGCAAAGGCCGAGCTGCCTGTAGGCGCTGATTGTCCCGGGAGCCAGGCCGCATCCGCGGCGTTCCGAGCACCGGCCTCAAACACCATCTTGGCAAGGAGCGGCGCGGCCTCTGTCGGCGGGAGCGACAGGCCGGCATCGGCTACTGCGCTCGCGTCAAGCGCCAGCTCTAGGATGCCCGTGGCGTACGACTGGGCAATGGTGACGGCGTCGGCTGGCCCTGTTCTCCACATCGGCCAGCTGTGGTCGATGCCAAGGGCGGCACGGATGCCTGGTGGCGATGCCGTCGTCGCATCACTTCCGTTGACCCCGGCGTAGATCCATATTTGTCCGTCAAAGACCGCAACACCCGGCGTTGGTCCGCTGGATGCGAGGACTACAGCGAGGTCTGACATGACGTTAAGGAGGACACCTGCAGTGGCGACCGAGTCGTACCGAAGAAAGACCTTGGTGGGTGACGTGTCGACCAGCAGCGCGGCGCGGCCATCGGACGAGACAGCGGCAACATGGGCTGCGGAAAACCCACTGTGAAGTGACGAGGCCGACGGCGAGCCGAGACGCAGCGGAAGTCCGCGCCCGCCGCTCGTCACATCTGACGGCGAACTGTCTGGAATTCCATCGCCGGCAAGGGTATGTGGCGAGAGAGTTGCGTAGACGTAGAGGACAAGCGGATGGTCATCAAACAGGAGCGAGGTCGAGATCACCAGATCCAGGGCGCGGCGAGACGAGTCGCGGTATGCGAGCGTGAGCTCGACCGACGTGTCATGGGGAGCAATGTCGACATTGATCCAGCCCCATCCGGGACCTGCTGCCGAGTCGTGGCGGAAGAGCTTTCTGTTGAGCACGAGAAAGTCAAACCCGCTGAGGTACCCAGTGGCCACGTCATCATCGGCGTTGATAAACAAGAAGAAGTCAGCTGCGTCGAGCGCTTCTGCAGACGCTGTCGTGAGCGAGACCAAAAGCGCGAGCGATCGGTGGAGGCTGCAGCGGAAAAACCACAATGTCGACGGCGTTAGAGTCGAGAACGGCCGGCAGATGCGAGACGCTTGTCGCGGCCGACGCCGTCGTGGTCAGCGCCGGCACCGGGAGTGCCAGGCGGGTCGGCGGCTGGACAACAACAACCTGGGCCAGGCTCGCCTCGTTGTTGGTCTCATCAGCCTCGGGGACGGCGAGAACGGCATCAAGGGTAACGGCGAGCGAGAACTCGCCGGCCCGCGGAATGGGCGGATGTGTGAAGGCAACGGATGTTTGTGTGCCCGGAAGGAGGAACGGCGTCTCGATGTTGCCTACCTGCGCGAGAGCAAACGACGACCAGACAAAGGCACGCGACGACTGCCCGATGCCACCTCCCACATTAGCGATGGTGATGATGAGATCAAACGGCTCCCGGTGGCCGGCTCGGGCGGATCGATGGCGAGGCCCGCAACAGCAAAGTCTGGCGGCGGATCATGCCTGTACACGTGCGACGGAACGACGTAAAAGAACGACTCGAGCAGGACGTCTTCGTGGTTGTTGGCGGTGGCATGCTCAGCCGGTGCCGAGGCATCAAGCACCACGTCGACAAACACGTGGTTGCCGATGACAGCACCGGTGGTGTTGAGTGGGATGGAGACCTGGACCACAACGCGCGAACCAGGCAGATAGTAGCCGCTGGTAAAGGCGACCTGGTGCTGTGAGTGCTCGACTCCGTTGTGGACTACAGTGAGCGTACCCTTGAACGGATCGGCCGGAGATGCCGGCGGCGTGCCGCGGTTGACAAGGGTGACGTTGACGAGGGTGGCGTGCGGGATGGGCTCGGAGGCGGCGTCGGCAAGCGAGCGCTGAAAGACGGGGATGATCGAGACAACGGCAATGTCCGGAGCGCCACCGTAGACCTCGGGATGGTGGATGTTGTAGACAACGTCGTCGATTTCAGCGAGCGAGCGCGAGGGCGCAATGTGGGTGGGGAAATCGAGCGACTCGGTGGCAGCGACGTACTCCAGCGGCGTCTCGTACCAGGGTGCGCCCTGGGCCTCGCCCGACTCACGGGCGGCAAACATGACGGCCCAGTAGTCGAGGACGAGGGTTGTAAAACCACGGCCATCGGCGTTGTCCTGGGCAGCAACGAGTTGGTCATTGAAGACGCGGCCCGAGGCCTCGGACCACCAAAAGTTCATGTCGGCGGCCCACGACTCCCAGTAGACGCCGTTGAGGTACGAACGAAAGTCGTCGTAGCGCGAGCCGGCAAACTCGGGAAAGGCAAAGTGGAGCGGGCGGTTACCGATGAGCACCGCGTCCGGGTACTCGTAGGCGAGGCGGGCAATGAGATCGAGGCCGCCGTGGCGGAGCCAGTAGTAGTCGGACGTTGTGGACGGTGGCTGCCAGAACGACCATGGGGCAGTGACGCCGAGCGTGTCGAGGAAGAGGCCGTCCATGCCGAGCTCGGCAAGGATGTAGTCGAGTCCGGCGGTGCCGACCGAGACGTACGAGGCCTCCTTGAGAAAGGTGAACCATAGCGGATCGCCTGGATTGACGTACAGCCCGCCCCACTCGGTGTTCTGGTCGGGCTTGCCATCGGGGATAAAGTCGATGAACGAGCCGCCGGCATCCGAGTACGAGCCGACCATGTCGACGTAGAACGAGGGATAGCCATTGTTGGTGTACACCGCTTCACCGGTGGTGTAGTCGTAGGTGAGCGGGCCGGTGCCGGTGTTAAGGCCGGCGCGGAGCGAGGTGTTGCGCGGGTTGTTGATCCCGGATCCATCGCCGCGCTCGCCGTAATCTTCCCCGACCGAGATGTAGCCGATGACAATGGTGTCGTCGGCGTTGCCGAGGATGTTGTCGGGCCCGTCACGGATGTCGCGGACCTGGGCGGCGGTGATGAGCGCCGAGCCACCACCTGGGTGGCAGATGACGAGGTCGTACTTTTCCGCGGTCCGAATGTTGTCTTCGGTCCAGGCTGAGAAGAAGACGAGGTAGTCCGAGTCTGGCGATATGCCCGGGATGGGGCCGCGGACGATCGAGCCGATGGACCGGTCGCGGGCGACGTAGTTGGAGGCGACGTAGTCGCCGGACGCGGTCACAATGTACGCGGTGTAGTAGTACGGCGTGATGGGGGCGAGCAATGGGTCATTGTCGAGGTGCTCGATGGTTCGCCCGCCATCGGCCTCGCCCATCGCCGACGAGAGGATGACGGCGACGCTGCCCGGGCTGCGGTCGTGCGGCGAGAGAACGTAGTTGGCGTCTGAGCGAAGGACGATGAGCGAGGCTCCTGCGGGGATGACCGGCGGGAGGCTCAGAACGACGCGAAACAAAGTTGGCCCAACGGCGTGACTTCTGTCCGGACATGAGCTCGGGGCAGGGTAACCACCAGCGGCTCGGCGAGCGGGTCGTAAAGGGCGAGGTTGCCACCGGCGTCCTCCCACAGCAGAACGAGGGCGTAGCTGGCATCGTTGACAAGCTGCAGCTCGGGGACGCCGAGTTGCAGCGGGGACGGCGGTGGCGGCGAGGCAGGCAGGCGGGCAGTCCTGCCCGGCCCGAACGAGATGTACATCGGCGACGAGACGTCGTAGCCCGGGGTGGGGAGGGTGTCAAAGGTCAGAGTGGCGACAAGGTCAAAGGCCGGAGCTGCCGCGTAGAGAGCGAGCGGGAGGGCAGCGCGCGGCGAGGCGGGCGGGATGTAGCCATAGAGGAGGGCGAGCGGGAGTTCAGTGTGGAGCGCCACAACGCCCGGCGCGAGCTCGGAGACGGCGACGGGAAACAGGCTGTCGCCGGTGGGCGGAAAGGCGGCGGCTGAGGTCGGCGTCCCTGTTGATCTCAGATAGTCCGGGTTGAAGAGCGAGGCTGTGGCGCCGGCGTCGGTGATGTCGAGGCGAAAGTCGGCGCCGATGGGCATGCCGTGGTAGGCAAAGCCGGTCGACTTGTTCGAGTCGAGATCAAAGTAGACAATGACGTGAGGCAAAAGGGCGAGAGTCCAGATCTCGAGCATGCCAGAGGTGGCATTGACCCAGATCGAGAGCTCCTGTAGATGGGTGGGATCTTCGGGTGCATACGGCCACGAGTCAAGGTCGCCGGTGAGGGTGGTGCGGAAGAGCTGGCCCAGGGCCTGCGGCGGCGACGAGCCCGCGACAGTGCGGCTCACGAGCGCAGCCCGCACCTGCCAGGCGACGGCCTGTGGCGGTGGCGGCGGGAGAGTAACGTCGATGCGCGGGAGAAAAGGCCCCGGCGAGGCAGCAAAGCCCATGACGCTAGATACCAGGCCGAGTATCAGTGCTGCGGCTGCCGCGATGGCCACGACGCGCGTCATGATGGTGGAGTCTGAGCCGTTGTGGGTGGTTGTTCGCTCGCGAGTCAGTGGTCAGCGGCGAACTTGTTCGTTTGTTGGCTGGCTGCCAGCAGACACCAGCAGACGCCAGCCGCTGACGCTGCGCCACTGCTGCTCAGCGGCGAATGAGCCATTTAACTCTGCTGAAGAGTTAGCCGAGCCATGGCGCGCAGGTATCCGCGGGAGAGGCGGCGCGTGCTGCTGGTCGCGCTTGTGGTAGTGGGGGCGCTGCTGGCTGCTGGGCTCATGCGGCGGAGGGGGGTGAGTGGGGGGGCGAGGCCGCGGAAGGCGCGACGGGGTTCATCGCAGGGACCACGGCGGCGACCAAGGCACACAGCGGTCTTGGGGCGGTTGATGCGGCGCCTGCGGTGGGCTCTCCAGGCCGCCCAAGCCGCCCAAGTCCTTCCCCACGACGTGCGCGCGGCGCCGAGAGGGCGGGGCAGCCAGGGGCTGGTGGGGCTGGGGCCGACATGGCAGCCCGGATTCAAAAGGTGCTGGAGGGGTGGGAGCCTGTCATCGACCGTGAGGTGATGGAGCTTGCGATGGCGCACACAGGCAGCTCGGCGAAGATGCTTGCGCTGCTGGACAAGGCTGTAAGCGGCGAACCCATCAAGGTCCAGCTGCTTGGCTCGTCTGTAGTAGGCAGCTTTGCGGGACGGACGGCGCTGAGCGAGACCGACCTGGCGGCGTACGGGGCTGCGGTATCGGGATGGGATGCTACAGGGTCGGCGAAAGATGGATACTTCAAGCAAGCGTTTGAAGCGACCTTTGGTGTCGCCTTTCCGCATGATGGTCACCGGATCATCAACTCGGGGACCGGAAGTGCGACTGTGGAAGTGTATGCGGGATGCTCGTCGACGGTGCTACGAGGAATGGACATGTACGTGCTCGAACCGACGATCATCAACATCTACAAATACGAGAAGAGCTTCGAGACCGTGCTGCGGCTGTTCGCGACTCGGTCGCCCGACGCGCATGTGGTGATGTGGCACATGTTTCGTTGGTGCTCGATCGGCGTCAACTCGATCGAAGGCATCTCCAACTTTTGCTCGGACAAGCCGTTCAACTATGACAACATGCTCCCACTGTACACGGCCGAGACTGTGCGGACGCCGAAGCGGACATACGTGCCGAACGATCGGTTTGCAGACATTGCCGAGTACTACGGAGCGTCTGTGATTTCGGTCCGCAACGGATTCTTCCACGCTGTGGCGCAGCAGGCCGATGGCTTTGGGTGGGATGACATGCTCGAGCCGAACGACATCGGGGTCCATCCCAACGCGGAGCGAGGAACGGCGATGCTCCGCGACCTGTGGATCTTTTACTTGTGCAGGCGATGGAGCAACACGTGCGGCGCTCGCGGTGGAGAGCTCATGGGCTCCCAGACGCACATGTCGTGTCGGCATGGTCTGCACCCCGCTAACGCTCACTGACAACGAGATGCGCGGCAAGATCTCCACATGCTATCACTGGGACATCGCCCAGGTGGGCGGCAATCCCTATGTGCAGGCGCCGCGCATGGTCGACAATTCGGGCTTTGAGTTTGTGGACGAGACGGCAAAACACAAGCTCGGACTGGCGGGAATGGAACCCGGTGACAATGTGGTGTTTGAGGTCGACGCCGGCGACTTTGCCGACGACGAATGGAGGGAGGGCCAGCTGACGCTCATGTACCTGACGTCACACCAACACATGGGCCGCGGCCGCATCGAGTGCTTGGGTGGTTGCGGGTGTGAGACGACCGAGATCGAAGGCCACATCGAGACGAAGCACTCGGTCATCGAGTCGGAGGTCATCCCGCTGGTACTCAAGGCCGACGAGCTGGGGCGGGCGCACAAGTGCCAGGTCCAAGTCACTGTCCTGGACAAAACCAAGTCGGAAGGCCACAAGGTCAAGCTGGTACGAGTTGTCTTTGATGTCTTTCTTCCTCGCGACGCAGCCAGAGATGGAGCAACCGCCTGAGCGGTGCAGGGAATGAAGGACCGAGGGCGAGAGAGGTTGAGAGGCCGTGCTCGCGCGCCTGGGCGTTGGACGGCGGTGGCGGGTACGTACTCGAGCCACTCCTCGTCACTTGTGCAGCATGAGCAGACGGCGCAGACAGTTGCTCCGTGGGGCGGCTGTTGTGGTGCTGACTGGTGTCATGTTTGGCATGGGATACATGGTGATGCAGCCGCCGCGGGTGGTGGCGGTCCACGCGGCAGTACCCTCGGGGGCAGCGCACCCTCCGACGCACACCCACGCGCCTGCGCACACGTTTCAGCCCGCGCCAACACACGCGCCTGCTCCGGCGGAGGGTTTAAGTCCAGCTCCCACTCCGAGCCCGGGCTCCAGTTCGATGCATGGCTCTGGTGGCGGAGGGTCGAGCAGGCCCAAGGCGGGCATGGCAAACATGGAGGCACGGATCGAGGCGGTACTTGACGAATGGGAGCCTGTTCTCGACCGCGAGGTGATGGAACTCGCAGTAGCGCACGCTGGCAATCCGGCTGCGATGCTTGCGCTGCTGGACAAGGCTGCGAGCGGCAAGCCGATCAAGATCCAGCTGCTGGGCTCCTCGGTGGTCGGCGCCTACGCTGGTCGGTCACCGCTCGACGATGCGGACTTGGCGCAGTACGGTGGGGCTGTTAGCGGCAAAGACGCCGCGGACGGGTACTTTACTCAGGCGTTTGAGGCGAGCCTAGGCGCCGTCTTTCCGCACGCCGAGCACAAGATCATCAACTCGGGTATCGGCGGCTCAGCCCTTAATGTCTACGCGCGATGCACGTCGATTGTCTTGCCCCACATGGACATGTACGTGCTCGAGTCTACGATCATCAACCGCATCGAACACGAGAAGCATCTCGAGCGCGTGCTGCTGCATATGCAAACGCAATCGCCTGGAGCACCGGTGGTTCTGTGGAACATGTTCCGGTGGTGCGTCCTCGGCCGAAATGTCATCGAGGGCTTTGACGCCTACTGCTCGGACAAGCCATTCAACTACGACAACTTGCTCCCACTGTACACGGCCGAGACGGTGCGGACGCGGAAGCGGACGTACGTGCCGAACGATCGGTTTGCAGACATCGCCGAGTACTACGGCCTGGCTGTGCTCTCGGTCCGCAACTCGTTCTTCCACGCTGTGGCGCAGCAGACTGAGGGCTTTGGCTGGCACGACATGCTCAAACCGGACGACATCGGGGTCCACCCAACGCGGAGCGAGGAACGGCAATGCTTCGCGACCTGTGGATCTTTTTCTTTGTCCATGCAATGGAGCAGCACAATCGTCGCTCGCGGTGGCAAGCGCACGGGCTCCCCGACTCACCGGCAGCCTCTCCATGGCTTGCACCGCCACTCACTCTCACTGATGAGGAGATGCGGCCAACATTGTCGTCATGCTTTCGCTGGGATAGCGGACTGGTGGGCAAGAATCCCTTCGACAAGGCGGCAAAGATCGTCGAGTCGTCCGGCTTTGAGGCCGTGGATGAGACCGCAAACCACAAGCTCGGGCTTGCCGGAACGAAGCCTGGCAACCACGTAGTGTTTGAGGTTGATGCTGGTGATGTCGGTGATGACAAGTGGAAGGAGGGCCAGCTGACGCTCATGTACTTAACCTCGTTCGAGCACATGGGCCGTGCCCGCGTTGAGTGCGTAGGCGGCTGCGGGTGCGACACAACGGAGATCGACGGCCACATCAAAGCCCAGCAGTCAGTCATGGCCTCAGTCATGATCCCGCTGCAGTTGCATGACGACGAGCTGGGGCGAGCCCACAAGTGTCAGGTCCGGGTCTCGGTTTTGGATGAGACCGAGTCGGAAGGCCACAAGGTCAAGCTGCTGCAGGTTGTGTTTGATGTGTTTCTGGACTGAGCTGGATGATCCGGGTGTTGAGAATGCCTGGTGGCTAGCAGCTGGCTGAGATTGAACAAACAACCAGGCATGAGGCAGGGGTGTACCCAGTGGGTTGCTGGGCGAGCAGCGCCATGCGCTGGCTGGCGAAACACATTTTTCATGTTTTCTCGCGATCTCGGTTTTTTCAATAGCAAGTAGCACATGAGGAGATAGTTCATAGTCATTGCTGGCGGTGTATGCCATCTATGTGCCAATGACGAGCTGCCCTGGGACGTCAGCGACGGTTTCGCTCGGGGCGATCCCGCGAACAACTCAAGCCTCAACTGTTGTCTCCTTGCCCAGCTATAAATTTATATAAAAACACGTAAATTATTATATGTTACTATGGTTCAGATCTTGTTTTTTATTTTATTGCATGTAATACAATTAACATTATATCAAATGAACATATTTAATCATTCAGATAAGATTTTCCTCTATAATATACGTTTGCGTTTTCGGGTGCCGAAAAAGGATGAAGCCTCAAGCTGAAAGAGAGAAGAGCACCGCTCCTCGTCGCTCACCGCTACCTCTCCAGTATCCACGCGCACAGGCTCGGCTCACACCTCCCTCCCTGTAGCACCTACAACCTCAAAAGTGACCTACCGGGGCGCAACACTGTTCAGGATTTGTTATGCACATTATCGTCCACGGTGTTGACCCGCGCACGCTTGCGGGCACGCTCGGCACGCCGCTGGGCAGCAGTCTTGCCATCGTCGACGTCGCCACGCCCCGAATCGCTGCCAGACTCCTCGTCCGCGGCGTCGTCTGGTGAGACGTCGTCGGCGACGTTATCCTCAACAGGATTGCCCTCCATGGTAAAGACACGGCGCTTGCGGCGGCGCTTGGAGATGACTGGGTGTGTTGTCGGGTCGTCGTCGCTTGAGGCCAGAACGACGGGCTCTGGCAGTGCGTCCGGGGCGGCACCGAGCGAGAGTGCGAGCTCGCGCAGCGCCTCGTTCTCCTCCATCAGGTCCTCAATGTCAGACTTTTGCCGCTCGATGTGCTCGAGCGCCGACGAAAGGACCACAACCTTGGACGAGCGCTTGAGTGGACGCAGGACTGGGATAGCCTGCTGGAGCTGAAGAAGGAGGCGATTGATAAAGAGCCGCCGCCGCCGCTCGACCTCATTGTGGTTCTCCTTCCGCCACAGGCCGAGCAGCTTGGGATCTGTCGGGCGGACAGCCTTGTCGGTCTTACGCGGCGGGAGGAGCCGCTCGTCGTCGGGATGGAGAGCGAGGAACTCCATGTTGGCCTTTTGCGATGTCTTCTTCTTGCCGCTTCCGCGGGCCTTCGAGCCCTTCTTCTTCTTGCCGCCCGACTTGCTGCTTGCCGACGCCGAGCCCTTGGCCTTGGCGCCACTCCCGCTCGACTTGGCCTTGAACAGGGCCTCCTTCGTCAGCTGTGGCTGCCACGTGCCCGACGGCGACGCGGCACTTCCAGCACTTTTCGCCGGCGGCGCCGACGACGGAGGCGGACCAGAGCCGCCCGGCGCGCCTCCCGCCCCTCCCGCCCCTCCCGCCCCTCCCGCGCCTGGAGGCGGAACTGGGAGTTGGCCCATGCCAGCGAGCGGGCCGGTCGGCGGCGGCGGCATTGGAATGCGATCTAGGTCGCCAGCGACAAGCCCACCCGATCCTGGTTGCCCGCCCGGTGGCGTCCAACCCGTTGACAGCGGCGGCGGGTACGACATTGACTGGAGCATGAGCGGTGAGCTGAGCATGCCTAGGTACGCACCCGTCGAGTCAAGCGAGACCCCGGTGCCAGCCGCCAGGCTCACCCCGCTCACCCCGCTCACCCCGCCTGCTACGCCCGCGCCCGCACCCTCGCTGCCACGCCGCTGCTGCGCCCACAGCGTCGGCGGCCGCGACGAGTTGAGCTCCATATCCTGCATGTGGGCCGAGAGCGAGTCCTCGGCCTCGGGCACCAGCTGCGGCGCAAGCGTAGGCAGGCCTGGTGCCACGCTGCCGGGCGCCATGGTCGGAATGTGCGAGTACTCGTGCGAGTCAACCGCCGCCGCCCGCATGGCCGCGGCAGCCACAGCCGCGCCGATGCCCGACTCGGACCCGTTCGACTGTAGCGACGGCGAGGCGCCCGAGAACTTGAGCCGCGCAAACATGTCATTGTCGTCGGCAAACGGCAGGTCGTCGAGCTCAAACGAGGCCAGCGCCTCGCGCCCCATGCTGCGCCCGCCAGAGACGCCCGCAGAGCCCAGCGAGCCTCCCGGTGGCGTCTCCAGCTGCATCATGAACGGTGGAGGCCCGTTGTCAGACGACATAGTCTCGCTTCCCACGCTTGGTCTTCCTTCTACCAACAAGTGCCTCGGTCACTCCTGGTCCAGTCTCTTCCTTGCGCTTCTATTCTGCTGAGCGCAACCAACCGTCTGCTCCTGCTTTGCAAACGTGCGTACTTGTGCTTGCTCCCAACACGCCTGTCTGCTGCTTGTCGCAAGTTGAGTCTGACTGCCTTTGGCCGCTGCGTACCCACGGCCGACCGAGCGCTGTCGTCGCGTCGCTGCCGGATCGCACCGCTGTAATTGGCAGTGCGCTGCAGGTCACATGGTTGGACATTGTTCGCGGCGGCTCCTCCTTCTGACGCGTCGCTCCACAATAATTGGCCGCACTTTTCCTTCCCTCCCACTGCCACCCTCAGCTAAAGGGCCTGCGACTCGAGCCATCATGGCCTTACTGACCGCGATCGGATCCAACCCAAACAAGACAAGGAACAACTCGCACAGCCGACATGAGCAACAGCAACGGCAACGGCAGCGACTTCAATCAATCACTCAATCACACGCAGTACACGCAATGGTCCCACGACAAAAACAACACGTTGACCACGACGGCACAGACGCACACGGTAGTGCTGTCGCAACTAATCATCGCTATCCTCGCTACAGGCTACATGTGAGAGCGGGGAGGGAGGGGAAGAGGGGGAAGGGGGAAGCCGCACAACCCAGGGGGGGGGAGGGAGGAGGGGGAAGGGAGAAGAAGGAAGGGGGGACATCGGCAAGTCACACGCCGGCCGAAGGAGGACACCTTTCTACGACCGCCACGCACTGCTGCGCAACACCCGCAAAAGACGATAGCCGCCACAGCGCAGGCCGCCTACGACGACGCACGTAGCGGGTCGGTAAACGGCGGGAGCGCGACAACGTCGTTGAGCTTGCAGCCCATGGTCGGGTAGTAGATGGTGTGGTACGACGGTGGCGTGTCGATCAGCTCAAGGTCCAGATCCATTGAGAGCCAGACCTCGTTGAGCTGGAGGACGCCGTCGGCGGCGTGAGAGCACGAGATGAGCGCATCCGAGACGCCGAGAGTCTCGTCGAGGCACTCGACCATCTGGGCCACGGTGTATGCCGGCTTGAACGTCGGCGTGATGCCGCACGACGCAAAGAGTGCGCCCATGTCCATCTCCAGCCGCAAGCCCAGCACCGTCGAGAAGTACTCGAGCTGGGTCGGGTGCGCCCCGGCCTGCTTGCCGGCCGGCAGCTGGGTGCACGTCCCGTGCTTGTCCCACTCGTGCTCCCAAAAGTGCTCGGAAGGGCCTCCGTTCATCGACGCCCAGAACACGTCCATGAGCGTCCGCACTGGCGTCAGCTCCTTGGCATTGAACTGCGCCGTCTTGTTGCAAAACATCGGCGACTTTGCGCCCGACTCAAACGTCGGCCACAGGCCGTGGACCTCAAACGCCGGCGACGGGAGCGGACCCGGCGCGTACCGGCACGACACCGCATCCTTGGACGAGCCCGTCGGCAGGTTGCACGTCGAGCCAGTCCAAAACTGCGCAAACGCGTACATGTCGTACCCGTCCGAGCCATCAAGCCGTCCACTCTCGCCCGTCAGCATCCCCCGCTCGCCCCCAGAGCCGCTCCCGGCGTTTGCAACGCCGCAGAGCCACACCGCCGCCACAGCGGCAACAACGATAAGTACCTTGAGCATCGTCTGCGCAAACGTGTGGAGACAAGGAGGTGGGAAGGGGTGGGAGGCCCGCAGAGAGAGGTCTGTCTAGACCCTCACCCACGCCTCGCCCCGTTCTGCTCCGCCCGTCCTGGGCAAAGAACCCAATTTCCCCCATCGCGTGACATACACACCAGCCAGCCAGCCGCAACTCGCCAAGGTGGCAAGCCGAACCAGCCAACCGACCACCAAAACCAAGCTGCCACCCACCGCACTCCCACCCCCCTCCACACGCGCACGCACGCGCACACACACACACAGCATGCTGCACTCCCCACTGCTGACTGTGCTCGTGGTGGCCGCCCTGGCCCTGGCCGCACACGCGGAAATCGTTGACCTCAAGACCAAAGTACGTAGGCTGCATTGCGTTGCTTCGCAAGGCTGTTGTGCGCCGCGGGCGCGCGAAGCCGCCTTCTCAGCCGATGTTCCTCACCTCTTCTGCACAAAGAGCACGCTCGCCACGGCACGCAGCCACCACAGACTGCCGCGGTAGACTGCTTTGATGCAGAAGGGCTACTCCCACTGGTCATGTGCAGCGAGTGGTGCGAGTGGCGGCAGGTACTCACGTGGACGCACATACACTCGGGTGTGGGCGGACGAGCGTAGACCGAGCCGCTGATGTCGATTCCGGTCCAGGAGGTGGCCATGTTTGCGCTGCACGACACGCCATGGGGTGACGACATACCGTACGTCGAGCTCCGTGGAAAGGTTCTCAACGAGTCGCCGAACAACGGATCAGTCATGCTCATCTTTGTCCGAAACGACGACGTGATGGACGCGACGGTAGAGAACGATCCGTGCAAGTCAGGGCGCAAGTCGGTCGCCTTTGTCCCGCCTGGGCTCTCCGACTTGTATCTGCACGTCGGCGTGGCCCGGACCGATTGGTGGCACGTCCTGGTGGCGCAGTGCCCGGTCGACGGCCAGGACCCGCCGCTCATCCTCACCGGCGAAGTTGTCTCGCGCAACTCGTTTGGCTACATCCCGGCGCAACAGTACCACCTGCTTCCGTTCTTTGGCATTCTCTGCCTCACATACATTGTGCTGGGCTTTGTTTGGGCCGGCTTTACTCTCGCCAACTGGTCGTCGTCGCTCGCGCTCCAGCACTGTATCGCCTCGGTCATCTTCCTTGGCATGCTTGAGCTCACCTTCCGCTACTTTGACCTGTGGGAGTACAACAAGGTCGGGCGCGCGAACCTTGTCACCGCCGTCTTTGGCATTCTCTGCAACGCGTGCAAGGAGACGCTGTCGCGCATGCTCGTCCTCGCCGTCTCGATGGGCTACGGCGTCGTCAAGCCCTCTCTCGGCACCGATAAGTACAAGGTCTTTGGCCTCGGCGCCGTCTTTTTCGTTGTCGACGCCATCAACTCCCTGCACTCGCGCCTCGCTCCGCGCACCGGCCCGGCCCGCCCCTCGCTTGCCTTTGCCGTCGCCGTCGTCGTCCCGCAGTCGCTTGCTAACGCGCTCTTCTTCTACTGGACTTTTATCGCCCTCGCCCGCTGCATGCACCACCTCGAGAAGCGTCGCCAATATGTCAAATTGCTCATGTACAAGACATTTGCTATCGCACTAGGCGTGGCTCTCGGCATCTCGCTTCTCCTCCTCACCGTCCGCGCCCTCTTTGGTCTTGGCTCATCCGAGAAGCACTCGTGGCGTTACATCTGGATGTTCACCGCCTTTGACGAGCTCATCTACTTTGCCATCCTTCTGGTCGTCTGTGCCATCTGGCGCCCCTCCGTCTCCAACATGCGCTACGCTTACACACAGGCTGACGACGACAACGACGACGTCTCGTCAGACTCAGAGGTCAACATCCCGCTGGCAGGCGTCACCGAGCCCATGCGCCGCTCGGACGCCGCCGCACGCTCATCATCGCCGCCAGGCGGGCCTCCGCCGCCGCCTGCTCGGGGCCAGGCCTCCTCCGATCCCTCTCCCCGCACCGCCACCTCGCTTTTTACCGCCGCCGCTTTTGCCATCCACGAGGATGAAGAGACGGCTGCTCTCGAGGCCAACAAGATGGAATGATCGAATGGGTGGCGTAGATGGCAACAACATAAACATCCCAGACGCTATTCTCCCGCCCGCCCCCCCCCCCCCTTGCAGCCGAATTCATTCGTTCTCCACTGAACACCGAACACCCGTCGCTGAGCCATGGCCGCCGCCGCTGCTGCCTCCAAACACGTCGACCTCAAGATCGTGTTCCTTGGGGCGTCGGGTGTGGGCAAGACGTCCCTGGTCCAGCGCTACGCCAACGACACCTTTGAGCCGACGCAGGTACGACGTCCCACATACCCTCTTCCTCCATCTCCCTCTGCTCCCGCCTCCTTTCGTCCACAGCCGCCGCCGGCCTTGCCCACACCTCCCTTCGCCCGGAGGCCAAGACGGCCAACCCACACGCGCCACTCACCCTCCCCCTGCTCACGCACCTCCGCCCGCAGTCGACCATTGGCGCCGCCTTTACCCTCAAGACTTGGCATGGGCGTCGGTTTGGGGTGTGGGACACCGCCGGCCAGGAGCGGTACAAGTCGCTGTCGGCGTTCTACTGCCGCGGCGCCGGCGCCGCAATCCTGGTCTACGACGTGACCAAGGCCGACTCGCTGCACGCCCTCGATGCATACATGGATCTCCTGGCGTCGGCCAAGGACGGCTGCTTCAAAGTCCTTGTCGGCTCCAAGCTCGATCTGGCCCCCGATGCCCGCGAGGTCACCCTTGACGCCGCCCGCGAGTACGCCACTTCGATCGACGCATTGCACATCGAGGCCTCGGCAAAGACCGGCGACAACGTCATGGACATCTTCAACCACATCGGCGTTGGCGTCTTTGGCTTTGACGCTATGACCGCCTCTGCCAACGGCTCGCCCGCCTCCACCCCCACCCCCACCGCCTCCACCAGCACCGTCCGTCTCGACGACGACTCCGCCGCCAAGTCCGGCTCGGACAAGAAAAAGTGCTGCTAACTTAGCTGTAGCAGTACTCGTGGCACTTTGCTGTACTCGCATCGCTTGTTGCTACGAAAAGTGGCTCATCGCGTCGGCGTCGAGCTCACGGATCTTGCACGTCGACTTGTCAAAGGTGTACGGGACAATGCCGAGATCACCGTCGAACCGGTTCTTGCGAATGTCCAGGTACGTGTACTTTTTGCCGCGCTGGATGATGATGACGTTGTCGGCCTCCTGCGTCGCCTTGGCCGTCCCAAACACTGACGAGGTGTTGAGAAGCGTGTCGTCGTCGACCTTGCGCGGATGGACCACAAGCGAGATGTGGACGTTGTGCTCAGTGGCAAACTTGCGGAGCGCCTCGATCGACTTGTCTAGCAGCTCGAACCGCTCAAAGCCCTTGCCCTGGCCCGAGTGCATAAACTGCAGGTTGTCCAGCACAATGTGCTCCACATCGTTGACATACACCGCGTACTCCATCGCGTCAAGCACTGCGTGGATGTCCGACGAGCCGAAAAACTTCATAAAGTGCATCGGGAGCGCCTCGAACGCATCAGCCCAGTAATCAAACTGGTCGAGGTGGTGCTCGAGCGGAAGCGACGCCAGTTGTTGCATCATCTTCTTCACCAAGCGCACGTTCGAGAGCTCAAACGAACCCCAGAGCGTCGGCACACCCTGCGCCGCATAGTCGAGCGAAAGCTGTGACAGAATCGAGGTCTTGCCCGCACCCGTCGGCCCCGTCAGAATCGTGAGCTCACCCTTGCGGTGGCCCTTGAGAACCTTGTTGAGGGCAGGCAGCGTCCTCGACTGCACCCCGCACGCCTGCTCCGGGTTCGAGAGCTCCGTCAGAATCTCGGACCGCAAGTCCGAAAACTCCACAATCTGCTTGTGCGGCATTCGCGCTGCAGAGACAACAAGCGCGTCCATGTCAAGCCCAGCCCGCAGCGCGTCATTGGCGTCCTTCGGCAGCTTGCCGCCGCTCGCGGCCACAGCCTCCACAACTGCTGGACAGCCCGACGGCCGCACCAGGTACGTCCGCTCCACACCCAGCTTGCGCGCAAGCTTCTCTGCACCCTCCATACCCGCCATGTCGTCGTCCATCCACAGCACAATCCGCTCAAACCGCTCCAGCATCGGAAGTACCTCCACAGGCAGCGACCGCGCCCCGTTTGGCAGTGACACCGCAGGCCGCCCCGTCGCCTGCCAAACTGCCATCGCATCATACTCGCCCTCGGTCACGACAAGTTCGCGCGCCTCGTCCGGCACCGTCTGCCACCCAAACAGCGACCAGCCGCCGCCCTTGGGATCCAGCCGCTGCAAGTGCTTGGCACTCAGCGCCCGCACCTTGATCCGCGTCGCCGCAAGCGCGCCGTCGCGCCCGCTCGGCGCCACCCACGGAAATGTAACACACTCGTGGTCCTGCCACCCGCCACCGTCGCCGGCGCTCGGATCCTTGGGAAACCCATACGTCGCAACGCCGACCGAGTACTTTTGCAGCGTCTCCACACTCAACCCGCGCTCCTCAGTCAGGTACTTGAGCGCCCGCGGCGACTTGCCCAGCGAACGCGGGTACTGCTGTAGCGCACGGAGATCGAGTCCGCGCGCCGCCGCACGCGCCGCCGCCGCGCCCACTCCAGCCTTCTTGCTCTTGGCCGCCTCGCTCGCTCCTCCTCCTCCACTCAAGCTTGCAGACGCGTCCAGCGTCGACGTCGGCCCGGGCCTCGCCTGCTCCGCCGGGCGCACGTCGCCCATCTTGGCCTTAAAGTCGAACCACGAGCCCTTGAACCCGCACCGATGACAGAAGCACGCCCCGTCCGACCGCTTAAAGTATAGCTTCCACTGGTTGTCCACCCGCCCCACGTTGCCCTTGCAGAACGGGCACGCCTTGACGTTGATCTCGCCAGGCGTCTCCCGGAATACCAGACCCTTGCGGCTGAGGTACGACGTCACGTCAGAGTCCGAGAGCCGGTAGTGCGACGAGACAAACGTCGGCATCGCGCCCAGCCCACCACTGCTACTGCTCCCGCTGCTGCTCCCGCTCCCGGTGCTCTCGATCACGTGCGGCTGCCGCCGCACCGCCGACGAGCTCTTGGCCCTCGCCAACTGCCAGCCCCATCCCGGGACCCGGCCCACCCCGCGGACCGTCGCCATCACCGCAAGCCCACGCCCCGCGCCCTCCCCTGCTTCCCTGACAACCACACCTGTGCCTCCACGTCTTGCCACACCTTCTCCTGCTCGCCACGCCCACCACCGCGCCCGCAACTGCATGCTCTGCGCCGCCACGCCGACGACGCGTCGCAGCATCGATTGATTCTTCAAACGAGTCAAATGCCCCACAGCGACGCCATAGCCCGCCACCACTCACACCTCATACCTGACACGCTGTTTATGGCGACTCGACCTGGAAGAACGAAGCATCGACATCGCCAAGCAGAATCCCGTCGTCCACCCCGTCGCCATCGTCGCCAAGCACAGCCAATGAGTTGCGCTTGGTAATCGCTGTCGAGTCGCGCCGTCGCTCAAACTCGGCCTTGCTCGCTTGCTCGTCAGCGATAAAGTGCGACTTGACCTCCATGAGCTGGTGCCGAAGCGACGGGTCTGACCAGTCGGGCGCTTCGTGCTCCACCACCCGCCAGAACCGCTGGACTCGGACGTCATGGATAAACTGCGCCTGTCCGGTCACCTGCTTGAGAATCGACCGGATCTCCACAACCATTGTCGCAATTACAAGGACGAGCGAGCCAAAAATGACGGCCAGCGTGAGTCCGATAAACGCCTGCCGCGACCACGCGCGTTTGAAAAGGTCTGCGTAAAAGACAAAGCCGAGCATGACCACCACAGAGATGATGACGTTGAGCTGGATCTCGAGCGTGTTGTAGATCGGATGGTAGTACGGCTCGTACCGCAGCTGCGCAAACGCAGAGGTGAGGAAGACCGCAAGGAGCAGCGCCACAAGCCACGTCTGGTGGTTCGAAACAAAGAGCGAGCAAAAGACAACCACAAGCCGCTTGAACAGTTGCACAAGCTCAAAGTAGTAGAATCGCACCCGGTACAGCCGATAGATCGACCCGTAACGCGCCAGCACGGCAGGCTGGAACAGTTCGTGCCGGTGCCGGAAGAGCGTAAAGCCAAAGTAAACCGGCACCGCCACAATGTACACTAGTACGGCGAGCATGCCCCACGGCATGAGCGTGAACCACGCAGAGTCGTAGCACCGCCGCCCCAGGTCCGCATCGAGATAGAACTTGCCGTCCGGAAGCTTGACGCAGTCAAACAGGAGCAGAGACGACCGCGAGAGCGGAATGTACAGCAGCGAGCCCATGAGGAACACAATTCGCTCCAGCAGCTGCACAAGTGGCAGATCCGGGAACGTCTGCGTGCACCACGGGAGCGAGGCCCGGAGCAGCTTGAACAGCACCAGCGCCACACACACAGCGCCCATGAACATCAGCGGGTACAGGATTGAGACCAGGTACTTGCCGTCAAACGAGACCAGCGAGCACTCGGACGCAAAGATGTTGACGTCCAAATTGACTACGTTGGTCGCCGCAAGCGTCCGGCTCACGCTCGACGGCCAGTTGAACTGCTGGTTACCCACCATGCCCAGAATCTGGAAAAACACAATCGCAAGTGTGAACGAGTGCGGAATCTTTCGCTGCCGCTGGGATTTGCGCACGTCCTCGTCAGAGTCAAACTGGACGTGCGCATACGCCGTGAGGCCCACAACTCCAAACGCAATCGCGACAAGGAGCATGAAGAACATGACCAGTGGAACGTACGCCTGCGACGGGCACTTGCGGCATCGCTTGTCAGAGTCCGAGTAATAGCCTGCCACACACTCGCGGCACATGTACCCGGTGTACTTGGGATTACACACTTCCAGCCCGCCTACGCACGCCTCCTCCCGCGGGCACCGCGCAAACTTGGTCCCCACAGATCCTGGCGAGACGTCGAAAAAGCCAAACGCTGCCACCGGCCGCGCAACTCCGCCCGCACACCTCCCGCCCTGGGGGCACTCGTCGCATGGCACGCCCGTCCTTCCGCTCGGCGAGTATGCTCCCGCCACGCACTCGCACAGCTCTAGCAGCGTCGATGCCGAGCTCGAGTTGTCGTCGCGGTCTAGCACTTGCGCAGAGAGCCGCGGGCAGCTGATGCATCCCGCAGAGCCTTCGTCGCGGAACTGGCCCGGCGGACATCCCGAGCAAGGCGCCACAGACTCGACTGTGGACGACTGGAAGGCCGAGCAAAGCGAGCAAGCAAAGAGCCCATCTACAGCTCGGCTCCCACCTCCCTGCCCGGCCGGGCACCCGCTCACAACCACGCTCGCCATTGCACCAAAGGCAGAGATGACGCTCTCGCCACCAACACGGAGAGTTACGTTGCGCCCGAGGTCCGCAAGACTCTCGACTGGAAACGTCGGCACAAGAGTGAGCAGGCCAAAGTCGACTCCGCCCGGCCCAAGCACAGCACTTCGGTCCGCATCTTTGAGCTCAAACGAGCTTGCTTCGCTTCCCACAATCCCAATCTCCACGTTGGTCGCCGGATCTACCACGTCCTGCCCAAATGCATCGAGCGCAAACACTGGAGCGCTGCCCAGTCGGTTGCCGGCCGGCAGGCTCTCGCGCAGCGCCTGCGCAAAGCCAATGGCCACCGGCCCGGAGCAGACTTGCGGCCCAAAGAGGCCCGCACTTCCGGCGTCGGCTGCGATGCTGCTCACACCCGCCCCGGTCAGCCAAGCCAGCGACGCCAGCTGTGGCGATCGCGCCACACCGCTCGCCCCGCACTCAAACGCAACCCCACCACATCGCGACGCCCTCGAATCAGCCACCGTGCTTCCTCCGTCGACAAAAACAGACTCTTCACAAAGCGCAAACGTCCCGCCATACGTCGCCGAGTTACCGCTCACCACCGTCGAGGTCAACGTCACCCCAGAACCCGATGCCGCCGACGAGACCAGAGGGAGCGTGCCGAGCGCAAGACTCGAGAGGAACCTCTCGGCCTGGGAGGCATGTGAAGTCGCCACCGCCCCGCCCCACGTCGCAGAGTTACCCTCAATCGTCGACGCCGACACTGTCACAGAAGACGCGTCGAGCGCAGCAAAGAGCGCTCCGCCAGCCCGCGCAACGTTGTCACGCATCTTGCACCGCTCAAGCGTCACTATTGCCGACTTGGTGGCTTCTACATACACGGCACCGCCGCCGCCGTTGGCCGCCGAGCATCCAACAAACAGACAGTCGCTGAGCGTGACACGCGGCTGCTCGCCCAGCGCCGCAATCGCTCCGCCAGACTGAAGCGCACGGACACGGGTAAAGTTTGAGTGCATCGCAGTAAGCGTCCCGCCGGTCTCCACAGCCACCGCTCCACCGTAGCCGCCAAGGAAGAGGCCGAACAGAGGATAGCTGGCGTCCGGCCGTGGAAACGAGTCTGCAAAGCTCATCGCCCGCAGCTCAAGCTCACCACCGTCAGAGACTCGGAGAGCGGTCGAGCCAAAGGCAGACTTGGGCGCCTGACTCGTCCCCACTACGTCCAGGTTCGACAGGCTCAGCTTGCCGCCCTCCACCACGTGGAACAGTACGCCGCCAGAAGCCCGGCAGTCGATGGTGGCCCTCGTCCCGGCCGGCCCGCCCACCACAATTTCGATCTTCTTGGCAATGGTGATCGGCGCAACCGCAAAGCACCCGGTGTACACCCCCGGTGGCAGAACAACGCGCCGCGAGGTGCATCGCGGCGATTCGCCAATCGCAACAGCCACGCACGCCATCCGGTATCCGCACCCGCCCACATCCACTGTCACCATGTCGGCCGGCGGCGGGAACCGAATCATCACTGTGCTTCGCTTAAAGACAGAGACCACGCCCGAGCCGACCCGCCCGGCAAAGGCAAAGTCGAGCAGCCCGTTTCCGTCAATGTCGCCGATGGCCATCGTTCCTGACAGCTCGTTGCCCGAGACTAGGACCGTCCGAGTAAAGCCGCCACTACCGTCGCCGAGCTCGAGCACGACCTCCTTACTAAGAAACTCGGTGAGGAGCACAACGTCGGCGTTGCCGTCGAGATTGGCGTCGAGTGTCGCCACCGTCTTGGTGAACAGCACGCCAGGCCGCTTGACCAGCCCAAACGTGGTCCCACCATCCAAGTTCTCCATGTAGAGCCACGCAGGCTCAAAGCTCAGTTCGAGACCGAGCGCATCATTGTTGCGGCAGCATGAGTCACCCACAACAAGGTCGAGGTCGCCGTCGCTGTCAATGTCTACAGGCAGAACATCGGCAATGCCCTGCGAGATCACCTTGCCGCCAGTGTACAGCCCCTCAACCATGAACACGGTCCCGTTGTACAGGACCGTGTAAGAGTTGAACATACCCGCGCCAGCTAGCCCGGTCCCAGTCATCATCACCAACGTGTCGACTTCTGTCGCTCCGTACACCAAATCAACATGCCCGTCGCCGTTCATGTCACCGACACGAACAACGTCGATACCACCGGCATTCGAAACGCTTGGCCCGGCCACAACGTCGGACGAGAATGCTTGCAGGCCTTCAACGCTTCCGTCGGTGTTCTCGATCCAGAACACCTTTTGCTCGTGGCGCGCCGTGACCAGAAAGTCAACGTCGCCATCGGCGTCCAGATCCACGCACTCGACCCCGCCTGAGCTCAGGTACCCGCGCACAGGATGGAGCAGCCTCGTCAGGTCAACCTGCTCACCGTAGCCTGGAGGAACTTGGTTTGCGGCCGCGCTCACAGTCTCGCCCTGCGATGAGAGCACAAGCTTGAGATAGGCCCCAGGCCCGGTCTTGCCCTGCGTACCGTGGAGGATAAGCCAGTCAACCACGCCGTCACCGTTAAAATCAGTGGCACAGTAGTCCGAGACCGAGCCAGACGTTGAGTTGGAGATGACAAAAACGGTCTTGGGTGCTACAAAAGCTCCATCGCCATTAGAGTTCTCGTACATGCCGACGCCAAGGTCGTTCCCGTTGGCTGCCCCCAGCCCGTCCAGCGCCACCATCATGTCGAGATCGCCATCGGTGTCTCCGTCCAAGAGCTTGACACGCGTCGATGGCGCCGACGACTCGACAACCTTGACCGGCAGCTGATTGGCAAGTCGCGTGTTGACCTTGAGCCAGATCTCGTCCTGGTCCTCAGAGTTGGCCACAAAGTCAACAGCGCCGTCAAAGTTCATGTCCACCACCCCGATCTGCGTCACCAGATCAATGTCGTTCATGAGCACCACCGTGGCGCCAATGGAAAACGTGCTCGGCTCGCCGGCAGTCATCAAGTTGTACATGCCAAACAAGTTGGTGCCGCCAGAGCCAGAGCCCACTGCCAGGTCCAGCAGTCCATCGCCGTCAATGTCCACCGCTTTGATTGCCTTTGGTCGCTTGCCAGCCACCACCGTAGGCTGCTGCGAAAAGACCCCCGTCCCGTCGTTGAGAAACATGGTGAGCTCTCCAGTCAGCTTGGCAAAGATCACTGCAATGTCGACACTGCCATCACTGTTAAAATCCCCCACGTCGAACATGAGAGGGTTGCCAACTGACTCGCCGGTTGTCGCCCGCACCAGCTCCTGTGGTGCTCCCCAGGTTAGCGGCGCACTTGCCTTGAGCAAGAACAACGCCGAGTTGAACACCTCACCGCCCACAACCAGCAAGTCGATCAGCGCGTCGTCGTCCACGTCGACAAACCGCACCACGCCGGTGCCGGGCTGTGGCACGGCAGGGAGTGCGCCCACGTCGGTCGCGGGAGCAAATACCCGCGATCCAAGATTGATGGCAACACGCACGTTCTGCTGGTCACCCATCCCGGCCACCACGTCAAGATCGCCGTCGCCGTCGGCATCAGCAATGTCAAAGTAGAAGAACTTGCCCGAGTCCACCGGCGTATCGCCTATCGCCATCACCTTAGTCCATGACACATCAACATTGCCGTCGCTAAACCAGACAAACACTCCATCACCATTGTTCGATGCCATGAGGTCGGTCGTGTTGTCATTGTCCATGTCACCCACCGCAATCGTCCGCCATCGATCCGAAGCTTCGACGATGGTCCGTGTCTCAAACTGCGGCACACCTGCAGCCTCGGTCGTGTTCTTGCCCATGATCACAAACACCGCTTTCTCGCCGCACCCGGCAATGTCCATAAACCCGTCATTGTTAAAGTCGCCCACGCCCACGCCGGTCACCCGGTCCATCACGTCATTGATGGCAGTCGTTTTGTCGACAAGGACCGCAGACTCGGCCAAAGGCGTGAGGCACTGCCCATTCGCCACAGCCACCACCACCGCCAGTGTCGCCACAACCGTCATCACCACCGCCAGCCATCCACTATGGTCACCTCGTCTACCTTTCAGCCGTCTGCCCATGCACCTGTCGCCAAAAGCGGCCGCGTCGTTCACCATCATCCCCGTCTCGTTGCACCCTTCACAAAATGTCGTGCAAGTTGCAGTGACCGCACGGACAGCTCCCCAAGTGTGGGACGGAAGAGCGGGAAGGGACTCGGCAAAGGATCACGCTCCAGCAGCTCCACACGTTCTACCTTTGTCGTTGTTGTTCCTTGCTTGGCTTCACGCACACCAACCTCGTTCTGTGTGCCTTGGTCACTCTTGTGCAGGTACAAGTTGAATATCCCCGTCCCCCGCCGAAGCTCCCCGTTGCTCCGTCCGTCCCGCGCCTATCCGCCGCATTCGGAGCCATCGTTGCAAACAATCCGAACATGTCACGAGGCCCGGGCCACGAGCTCTACGCCATGACCCGTACGAGACCCTGACCCTCTCGGGGCTCCTCCTCCTCGCATGCCCACATCATCCATACAAGTACGCGCATGCTCTCGCCCCACAAACATCCTAGGGAGGGAGGGGGTGGCGGTGGGGGGTGGAGGAAGGGGACGAGATGCCGTGGGCACCTCTTGGCATGAACAACGCAGCCTGTGACTGCGCCTTTTGGCTAGCCTTTGCTTCCTGAGAGTCACACCTGGTACCCTCCACCGGGCCGGGTACCCTTCACTGGGCCGAGTACAACTTGTTGGCTGGGCTGGGGAACAGGGTGAGGGTGAGTGCATCCATGATCAGGTCGCCCGATCGAAGAACCTACGATCAGATCTTGAGCAGACTTGCACACAAGAGTACATAGGCATAGAGGCGATCGCGATCATGGACATAGCACGATACAACTTTGTTGGTGTCATGGTCGCCTCCTGATGGGTGTCATGAAAGTAATGAGCTTGACTCTGCTGCTGGTAGGTGCAATCAACTTGTGGTGTTTCCAACTCCTGGAGTTTCCAGCTGTTCTAGACATTTCCCACTGTCGCGGACACCAACAGAGCAAGTCTACGAGCCATCTATAGTCTTGTGATCTGAGAAGAAAGCATGATTGCAACCGCAGAATGGTTTCAAAAGAGATTGTTCAGTGTAGATCGTGTGAGCCTTGTTCCCGCAGGTCAGACCTCTGACGAAACCGGCGATCACGCAAACTAGCCATCTTCGCCACTGCACCCATACGCTACCGCCGACCCCAACCCTCCTCACCCAAACTCTCTCTCAGCACTTTACCACACCAAACACCACCACGCCTCTCACCCTATCCCCTTTCCTCCCATCCATTTATCCCTTCTCTTAACAATGTCTTCCTCATCCGGTCCACCTTCACTGTCGCTGGCGATGGATGCGCGCGACGATGCTCTGGCTGTCCTTGGGTGGCTGGTGGGCATGCCCGCCGGCGAGTTTCTGGAGACTTACTATGCGCAAAAGCCACTGTATGTGGCCCGTAACGATAGTAGCTTCTACGATCAGGTGGTAGCGTTTGATGTCCAGGCCCTGGAGGCTCTCCTCTCCGAGCACGAGGTGCCGTACGGGTACAACTTGGACGTGACCAAGGTCGACAGCCGCGGGCGGCGCTCGGATCACAACGGCGAGCCCGGCGAGATCGCCAAGCTCAGCGACGTCCTCGCCGCGTATCACAACGACGGGTGCTCGGTCCGCATTGTGCATCCGGAAAAGTACGACCCGCCGATGCTCACACTCCTTGCCCGACTGCAGGAGGCCTTCCGAGCCACCATGGGCGCCAACATCTATCTGACGCCGGCGGGAACACAGGGCTTTGCGCCACACTACGACGATGTCGATGTATTTGTCCTCCAGCTCTCTGGCGCCAAGATCTGGCGCCTCCACCACGCACCGGACCCAGCGTCGATGGACCTCGCCCGGTTCTCCTCGCCTGACTTTGCTCGCGGCGATCTTGCTCCGCCGTTTGCCACCCACACGCTGCGCCGCGGCGACCTACTTTACCTCCCACGCGGAATGATCCACCAGGCGCTGGCGGCGCCCGACGAGGATTCGTGCCACATCACCCTCTCTGCGAACCAGCTCAACACCTGGGCCGACCTGCTCAAGGACGCGCTCACGCTTGCCGTCGATGGCCTCGCACAGGAGAGCCCAGAGCTCCGCGCACCTCTCCCGCTTGACCTTTTTGACGCGTTTGGCGCCATGCACTCGGACGAGGATGGCCACAATCCAGTCCGCGACGCCATCCGCTCGTCGGCAGCCTCGTTTCTCAACACCATCGTTGCCGCCTTGCCGCTCGATGTGGCTGTCGATCAGCGCGCTGCTCGGTTTGTGCACCTCTCGCACCCACCGCTTACTGAAGGCTCCCAGCTCCTCACTGCCATTCACGCTGCCTCGCGCTCACGCAAGTTCCCGATGCTCGCACCGCACCCGGCGCTGGGTCTCGAGCCGCGGACGATTCCGTCGTCGCCGGCAACCGCCATCCGGCTCCTCACCAAGTACGTCTGCCGCATGGTCCTGACCGAGGCTGAGGACGAGGACTCGTTTGTGATCTACTACAACTCGAACAACCCCTCCGAGCTCAACGTTGATCCGCCGTCGCGGATGACGCTGCCGCTGCTGATGGCGCCAGCTCTGGAGGTGCTCGACAACGCCTACCCGGACTTTGTCCTCCTTAACGATCTTCCCGAGCTCGACCATGACGAAGCCCTGGACTTTGCGCAGGCTCTGTACGAAGCCCGCATCGTGGTCGTCGACGACGGCTCAGCTCGTTCGTAGTCTTGCCCGCTACGGCTTGTCGTGGCTCACGCGCCGCTCGTCGCGGAGCCGCAGCTGCTCCGAGAGCTTGGAGACTTCGCCGACGAGCTCGTTGGCCATGGTGACGACCGCGTCGTGCTCTGCGCGTGGAACCGAGGCTCCGCGCAGCGTCTCATTTTCTCGGGTTAGTGTGGCAAGCGTCGACTTCCACACCTGCGACTCTTCGTTCCAGCCCTCGAGCACAGTCATGAGCCGGACGTTCTCGCGCTCGAGGGCAGCGATTGAGCCCTCAGCCGCCCGCGCCCGTGCCTCGGCCTCTGCCGTCCGCATCTGCAGCTGCTCGGCGAGCACGCCAGCGGCCGACGCAGAGTCGGGTGCAGCTTCAAGGTGCTGCAGGCTCTGGGCTCGCTGCTCGAGCACCTGGTTGCGGGCATCGAGCTCGCGGTTGCGCCCGTCGAGCTCGGCAAGGAGCGCCTCAAGCCGCGCCATGTCCTCGGCCTGCTGCTTGACCAAGCCATTTGACTCGGCAATGGCCTCGGAGAGCGAGGCCAGTTCCGCCTTGTCTGACGCGTTCATGGTCTGAACCTCGGCGAGCTGCGCCTTGAGCGCTGCCACTATGAGGCTGTTCGAGTCCGGCGTCAGACCTTGGCTAGCCAGGTCTGCCAGCACCCTGTCAGCTGACGCCTCTGCATCTGCCAGCTCGGTCCCGACATCTTGCTCTATTGCCAGACTCTCGCGCAGTTTCTCTTCAGCCGCCACCAGGTCCTGGTCTGTGGCAGCAGCCTCGGCTGCAAACTCGAGAGCCGTCGGCGACAGCGCTGACGCAGCGGCTGCTGCGGAAGCCTCAGCCTCCGTCTTGGCCATCCGCGCCTGCTCCACTTCGAGCTGAAGGTCAGCGTTCTCGAGCTCAAGCCGAAGGAGTTCGTCTTCGAGCGCCTGGATCCGCCCGCGGGCTTTTTGATAAAGCACAAAGTAGTCCCTGTCGTCGTCAAAGCCCTGCCGGGCCCACGTGCCGAGGCCCTGTCGCTCGGTCTCGACCTCGTCCGAGAGCTCGATGTCATCCGAGAGCTCTCCAAGTAGCTCGTCCGAGGTAGGATCCGAGAGGTCGATGTCAAAGTCCAGCTCGTCGTCGTCATCGCCGTTGCGCAGGGTGCTGGGGCGTGCGGCAAGTGCGTCGCGGACCGACCTCTTGCTGTGGGTCGATCCGGTTCCGCCTCTAGTCCCTGCATCTGAAATCATGCCGCCAACCAGTGAGTCATTGCCAGCGTCGTCGTCGTCTAACTCGGCCATGGCGGCCTCAAGCATGGCGGTGTATTCGGCAAGCTGCGCGGCAAGCGCCTTGTTGCTTGCCTCCAGATCGTCGGCGTGGGTGTGGGCGATGGCCTCGTCGCGGCAGGCGTCGGCATCAAACACGTCGAGGTGAACCAGCTTGTCTTTGACCGACTGCAACTGGGTCTTGAGTGCAAGCTGGATCCGGGCCTGGTGCGCCGCGCTCTCGGCGCCCGAGGTGAGGCGCCCGCGAGGTGTGTCTCGGTCTCCACAACGACCTTGCCAAAAGCGAGCGCGTGGGCAACCTGCGGACCCATCTTGCTCACAAACTGCTGCTCGGTCACGTAGCCCTTGCTCCCCACGTCAAGCCACTCGAACATTGTCCGTGCCTCCTCGTCCGTCTCGGCCAGGCCCAGCTTGGTCATCAGCCGGCCAAACCCGGACGCCCGCAGCACGCCGTCCATCGTCGCCGCCGACGCAAACACTGCCTGCACCCCGTCGTCATCCTCGCTCACTGACTTTCTCTCTGCCATGCCCACCAGCTGCTGCTCTACTTCTCCCGCGTCCACTTCCGCTCCCGCGACCAGTGTATCCATTCCAGTCTCGTTTTCCCACTGCCCCTGCTCGCCGAGCCTGTCGGTCCCTCGCTCGCTCTCTGCCCGTCGGTTGGTCTGTTGCTCGGTGTCGGTTGGCCGGTTTGGTCGATCTGTTGTGGGTGACCTGCCAGCTCGCTCAAACCACGTTTGCAGCGCCCACCCCAGTCAGTCTCATTCCCTTCCATCGTCTGTCCCACGCGGATCCCACTCTTGCCACTCATCCACAAACATCACATTCTGTGTAAAGGCTTTGCTGACTGTGAACATGGAACTCAGTACGCTTTCCTTTGCTTCTTTCTCCCGCCTACTGCTACGTCAATCACGACCTTTTTTGGGCACCTCCTTGGGACATTCCGTGGCACCGCCTCCCCCTCCTCCCACTCACACACCTTCTATGGCATCCTGCAGACGACAATCAGCTGGCTGCAGTCACAGAGAGTGCACAGTGTGTCATTGTGGTGGCAGGCGCCGGGAGTGGCAAGACTCAGACCATCGCTCATCGCATCGTCCACCACCTCCAGACCACACAAGGCGCCCGGCCCGATGCCGTCCTCGCCCTCACGTTTACCAACGCGGCGGCGGCCGAGATGCGCGACCGGCTCAACGCGCTCGACCCAATGTCACGGCCGGGATGGGCATGCACCGTGGCCACATTTCACTCGCTCTGCCTGCTCATCCTCCGCGAGCACGCACATTGCCTCGGCTTTGACTCGATCACCGTCGCCTCCCGCGACACGGTCCGAGGCTTGCTCGAGCAGGCTCTCTCTGAGTGGCGCGATGCTGATCCGGAGCACCCACCAGCGCTCTCGGACAAGGCGCTGGACGCGTTGCTGCGGGGACTGGATGAGGTAGGCACAGGCGAGGCGTCGGATCCGATGCTCGACTTTGTGGCGGCCCGGTATGCGGAGCTCAAGCGCGAGGCGTCGACGTGCGACTTTGGCGACCTCATCGCCCACGTGCGGACCCTGCTCCGGCGTGACAACCGAGTCCGCGCTGCGCTTCACAGCCGCTTCTCGTTCATTGTGGTCGACGAGTTCCAAGACACTTCGCAAGCGCAGATGGACATTCTCGCGCTTCTTGTCACCCCACCAGAGCTGGATCCGGCCACAGATCCGTGGCACTTTCGCCCAACGGTCCAGCTCACGGTGGTCGGCGATGACGACCAGTCGATCTACGGCTGGCGTGGTGCGAGCGGCGTCGCCAATTTTGACGCCCTTGCCGCTGCCACGCCATCACCGGTCACCATCCTCCTCGCCGCCAACTACCGGTGCGGGATCCACATTCTCCATGCGGCATCCCAGGTGATTGGATGCAACACCAAGCGCATGCCCAAGACGCTCCACGCAACTCGTGACAGCGCTACCCAGCTTGTTGCCGTCTTTGCAGGTGACTCACTGGATGCCGAGTTTGATCATATCGCCGACGCTATTGCCGCCCGCGGACCGCCGTTTGCCGACGTCGCCGTTCTCTTTCGCTCCGATCCCAACAACCGCCTCTCCGACCGCCTTGGCGCGCTACTTGGTGCTCGCCTCATCCCGTTTGTCACCACCCGCAAGGCCCAGCTCATCGAGACGGTCGAATTCTCCGGCTTGGCCGATGCTCTGCAGGCAAATGATCGCAACCTCCGCCAAACGTTCAACACCGCCATGACAATCCACCCGACTCCCGACGCGCGCCGCAACATCGACGCGTACATTCGCGTTGTCCAAAAGGTGGCCGCCGCCGCCGCCGACTCTGCTGGCGTCTCGTCTGAGGCTCGCAGCGGCCTGGCTGTGGCTATTGACCGCCACCTCCCATCAGTGGCCAGCCCTGGCCTGCCAACGCTCGGCGGCCTCGTCGCCGACCTCTCTGCGCTCCTTGCGCTGGTCGCCTACGAGCGCTCGTCGAGCGCAGATGACGACGAGCCGTCCGACTGCGTCACCCTCTCTACCATCCACGGCGCAAAAGGCCGCGAGTGGCCGGCAGTTTTGTGGCCAACATTGTCGACGGCGTTCTGCCATCGCGCAGCGCCGTAACAGGCGTCGATGCCCACAAAGCTCTCGAGGAGGAGCGCAGACTGCTGTACGTGGCCATGACCCGGGCTCGTGACGCGCTCTACCTTTGCACCCACTTCAATGCCGGCTCAGCAGAGCAGACTTTCGACGCCGACGTCATCCCGACCCGAGCCTCGCGCTTCTTCGACGAGCTGCCTAGTACGACAACCGCTGTCACACTCGCGGATGGAGTGTCCGATCCCGGGCTTGATGGCCTCGTCCGGCGCGTCCGGCGCAAGCGCGGCCGCATGTCGGCTAAACAGCCGACAGCGGCGGCACCTCTTCGAGCCTCGCACAGTGCAACGGCCTTGCTCGGTGGCTTCACCACAGCTGCAGGTGCTGCGCTGGAAACCCGTCAGCGTCGTCCGCTTAAGCGGGCCCGGACCCTCTCGCTCCCGGCCCGCGGGCGGACGACGCCGCGGCCGCTCGAGCCGCAAGCGCTGGGTTGAATACCCCGCCCTGGACCACCAGATCGGGGCCCTTGGCTCGGAGCGAGGACACAAACGCAAGATCAGCCTCGAGCGCCGTTGGCGGAACCAGGGCAGGAGGCACCACCGTCTTGCGCCTACGCTTGACACGGCGACGGGCTGCCGGGGCTGGGACCGGCGACGGCGACGGCGACGGGCGCGGTGAAATTGTCCGGACATGAACAGCAGGTGAAAACGAGACCTTTGACGCACGTAGCCTGCTCTGCGATGTGCGTCTCATAGCAGGCGTCCGCGCCGGCGTCAGTGGCAGTGCGTCGTCCTTGGACGATGGCGGGTGCGGCGCGTCGCGGACTGGCGGGAGCATGACCAGCTTGGAGAGCGAGAGCCAGTCGTCGTACGACCGAGTGCGAGGAACAGAGACAAGACGGTCCATCTCGTGATTGCGGAGAAAAGCCATCTCATACTTGCGCAGCAGCAGCAGCAGCAGCCGTAGCATGTCCTCAGCCGTCCGCGGCTCGTCGCCAGCCCGTCCCGTCAGCGCCGCCGGAACCCACAACCCATACTCGGTCAGAATCGGGACCATCCAGCGCCACTCTTCGTCGAATCTGGCTTTGTTCTCGACCTGTGTCATCTTATGAGCCATCTCTGGCGCGGCGGCGGTGCCCACAGCTGCATCGGTCTGCTCGGGCCGCGCATCGACCACCGCATCGGCCGCCAGCGGCGCAGCCTGAACACTAGCATCTGCGGTGGTGGGCACCGGCAGGTCCGGGATCGGAGCCGCTACTGACCCATTCGCCTCTGCTGCCGAGCAGGCCGAGTTGGCAGCCAGCAACTGGGCCGTCAGCCCGTCAACGGTCCTGTTGAGCACCTCGACATTGCGGACGAGGCGGCGCCTGGCCTGTCTCGCCTCTGCCAGCTCGCCACGGAGCACCGCATTGGCCGCCACCGATGCCCGCAGCGCCTCCTCCAGTACCCGGACCTGGTCACCCGACCCACTTCCCATGCGGTAGTCTCGCCTATCGTATGTCGAGTGTGCAGCACTGGGGCTGGGGCTGCCGAGTGGACACGACGAGTGGGCAAGGGCAAGAGGCACGTGGCGCGAGGCGTGTGGACGGCGGGAAGGTGGCCACCGCGAGTGGGCACCGCGAATGGCGACGTCACCACAATGTTCACCGACACCACTGATCCACACTTCCCTCTCCCTCCCCTCCCTCCCTCCCTCCCTCCCCTCCCCCCACTCTCCCTTCTAGCTCAGAATGCCTGGCGTCGGAGCGATGAAGCGGCTGCTGCGCGAGTACAAGGAGCTGTCGCGGTCGCCGCCTGACGGCATTGCGGCGGCGCCTGTTTCCGACTCGAACGTGTTCCAGTGGAAGGTGGCCATGGTCGGTCCCGAGGGATCCGACTACGAGGGCGCCTTCCTCACCGCCGTCCTCGACTTTCCACACAACTACCCGCTGGCTCCGCCGACTATGACCTTCACCACCCCGGTCTGGCACCCCAACGTGTATCCCTCGGGCAAGGTCTGCATCTCCATCCTCCACGAGGGTACCGACGCCTCGGGCTACGAGTCGGCCACCGAGCGTTGGTCGCCCATCCAGTCGGTCCTCTCCATCGTCCTCTCCGTCCTCTCCATGCTTGCCGACCCCAACGACGAGTCGCCTGCCAATGTCGACGCAGCCGTCGAGTGGCGCGACAACCGCCCGGCTTTTCGCGCACGTGTCAAGGCTCACATCGAGGCATCGCTCGGCCTCAGCCCCGAACTACTCCGCCGCTACCCGGCTTCGATAGCCGCATCGGCTTCGTCGACCTCGTCTTTGCTCTGAACTCAACACACGCTCGAGTTCAAGACTCAACGGCCGTTGTCTGCCTAAGTTTACCCTCAGGCGGCCGCAGACTCACTGATCTCCGACAGGATCGCTGCAATGTCGGTCGCCAGCGAGTACTGGAAGAGCTGGAGGAGGGTAGCTGCGAGAGTGGGCGTCACCGCGTCGGCGCGGACGTAGGCGTGGAAAGCCTCGTAGTCGCCGGCCTGCAGCACGCTGATGATCATCATTCGCAGCGACTCCTCGTCGAGCCCATGGCCTGCCTGTTCTTCACGCAGCTGATCGATGACGCCCAAGTTGACCGCCTTGACCGCCAGCAGCAGCGGTGTGCGCCCGTCTTTGTCGGCCGCGTTGACATCGAGCTCCTCCTCGCACCGCTCGCGCGCCAACCGAAGGAGCGCGCTCACCATGTCGGCGCTCTCAGAAAGCACCGCGAGATGGAGCAGCGATCGCCCTTGGTTATCGGCTGCATTCGGCGAGAGGCCGGCAAGCAGCCACTGCTCGAGACCGGCCACGTTGTCGTCTAGGATGGCCGCCACCAGCTCGTCTGCCACCACGTCGTGGAGGAGACGACCTCCGGCATCGCGGATGACGGCTGCGGTCTCGTAGTGCTTGGCCAGAAGCGCGTCGTAGAGCGGCGTGTGGAGCGAGTAGTCAAGCGGTGACGGGTACACGTTGTACTGAGTGAGCAGGACGTGTGCAAACTCGGTCTGGCCCGCCAGCGCCGCCACATGCAGCGGCGTCCGCCCCGAGTAGTCGGGTGTGTCGACGGAGACTCCCGCCCGCACAAGCTCGGACAGGGAGGCCACGTCACCTTCAGACGCCATCGCGCACACGTACGTCACCATAAACCGCGCCGCCACTCCCGACCGCAGCGACGACGAGAGCGACTCGTCCTGCAGCACATCCAGCAGCAGGTTCTTCAGCTCTGACTGCTCTGGTGCCACCGGCGCCACCACCGGCGGTGGCGTCAGCTCGCCAGCCACGTCGCGGCCCATCATTTCCTTCACTCTCGCCAGCGTGATCTCGCCCATGTTGTATCGGCCGAGCAGAACCGCGAGCTTGGTCAGCGCAGCTTCGGACGTCATGTCGCGCCCGGAAATGACGCCTGTCCGCGCAAGCAGCACTCCTGTCTCGTACTCGGCCGCCACCGTCCCGCGTGAACACTGCGTGATGTTGACAATGACAACCCCGCGATCAACCGCTCGCTTGATGGCCGCAAGCAGGCCCGGCCGTCCGGTCGGCACGTTGCCCGAGCCAAAGGTCTCCAGCACGAGGCCCTGCAGCGGTGGCTGCAGAAACGCTTCTACAAGCGCAACCTGAATGCCTGGAAACAGCCGCAGCGCACCAATCGCCGTCGACATGTGCCGCCGCACAAGCAGCGATTTCGTTGGCGGAGGCCGCGGCCGGACCGCAGGCCAATCAATCTCAATGCCAATGCCGACCGACGCCAGCGGCTCGAGATTTGGCGAGTCAAAGGCCCGAAAGCCCGAGGCGTCGACCTTGGAACACCGGTTGCCGCGGTAGAGGTAGTTGTGAAAGTAGATGCAGACCTCAGGAATGTTGAAGTGCCCAGCAATGGTGAGCGCCGTTCGAAAGTTGTCGCGAGCATCTGTCCGCGTCTTGAGGATCGGGAGCTGCGCTCCGGTGAGAATGACCGGCTTGGACAGGTTCTCTAGCATGAACGAGAGCGCAGACGCCGTGTAGCCCATCGTGTCGGTCCCGTGAAGAATGACAAAACCATCGTAGTCGTCGTACGCGTGCTCAATCACCATCGCCACCGAAATCCAGTCGTCCATGTCCATGTTGGACGAGTCCATGATGGGATCATGCTCCCAGATCTGGTACTGCACACGTTTGCCGTACTGTGAGAGTGGCATGGTGAGCGCAGGCCAGCCGGGATCGTGGAACGACCGCAGCGACGCGCAGTACTTGGCTAGAAAGTTGGGCGTTGGCGCATACCCGTTCTCGGTCTTGGTCGACCCAATCGTGCCGCCTGTGTACACTACAAGGACCCTGGAAATCGGCTCCGAGTTGAGTCCATACAGCGTTTCCAGCCCAGAGTCGGACGACTCGGTCGACCGCGCCGTGTGCGATCCGTCCGAGTTGCTTGATGCCGCTTCAAGCTCCTGCCACAGGTCGTCTGCAGACGACGGCAGGTTTTCCAGCGGCAGCATTGCTCCCGAGAGCGTGCCCGACACGTTGAGTGAAGTCGAGCCCAATCCAGCCACACTCGTCTCAGACGCCACCGCAGACGGCGAGAGCGTGTCAGATGCGCTCATCGCCATCAAGTCCGACTTGCTCGATGGGCTTAGGTCCGCCTCGGAAGTGCAGGGCGTAATCGAGTGCGGCGTCGTGTCGCGGAATGCTGTCGACCGCATCCGGTCATCAGTCTGCAGGTGGACCACAAGGCCAAGGCCTTCAGACGACAGCGAGCCCGAGCCCGCTCCAGAGCCCACTACCGTCGCAGACATCATCATGTGCCAGCTTGGCCCCGACGACGATGAGCTCGGCGAGGGCTCAGGCCCAGCGTGTGCTCCCTCGCCCACCAACTCGCTCAGCGAGCCAAACTCGGTCTGTGCCGACTCGGAATGTTCCGGAAGGGCAAAGAGCGAAGGATACTCGGGCGGCAGCTCGTAGCCGCCCATCAGCGGCGAGGCTGAGTTCTCCGACGGCCCGCCCGAGTGCAGGCCGAGCGACGAGCCTCCTCCCAGCGAGTCCATCTCCCACTGCGAGCTGCTCATGCGGACACGGCCACTGCCGGTCTCAGTGCCAGTGCCGCCATATCCCGCCTCATTCCCTTCATCGACCTTGTAGCCTCCATCGCTGCGCCCACCACCAGCACCAGTGGCACCCACCGCTGCCCGTCGCGAAGCCACACCAGCCACCGCCGCCAGAGACACCGCCACCGCCGCCACCGCCGCACCCACCTTTACCGCCGTGGACAGGACCGAGCTCGCACGCCCGCTTCCACCGGTTCCGGTCCCGCTGCTCCTACCATTGCCGCCGTCCATCGAATGCCCGACTTCGTCAGTGTCAGAGAAGGTGAGTTGGGTGGGTGTGGGTGTGGGGGTGTGGGGGTGTGGGGGGGAGGGGGTGGGCGGTGAGCCAGTTTGAGATCGTGTCGCCACGCTGTCGCTGGTCAGTCACCGGATGCGTGCGCTTGCACATTAGCTGGCCTTTGCTGGTCTGGGGTAGGGTTGTGCGGGCCTAAGGGATGGGTATGAGAGAGCACAATTCAGCCGCAATTTGTATGGCTATGGATATGGATATGGCCAAGGATACATTCTTGTCCACGGCATGGCTCGGGCATGTCGGCTGGTGAGTGGAGACGACGACAGGGCAAGACGGGATGCTACTCGGTGATGAAGATCGGCGTCGTGGGTCGCTCGACTCGGCCTCGCTGCTAGCAGCAGCAGCATCGTCAGTGGTAGCGTCATCACCGACGTCCGAGCCGGTGCCAGCCCTGCCTCCCAAGGGAGGTGCGCGGCGTGATGGCTTGCGCGCGGCGCGGGGCGCCGTGTCTGGGCGCAGGGCAACGTTGGCTGGAGTGAGGACCAGCTGTGCATCACCGACAATTGCCGCAAAGTCAGTAACACGTGAACCGTTGACATCGTAGACCCGGACGGCTGGACGCGCAAGGCCCAGCGCTTCAGTGCCATCGTCCAGGAGCTCGTCGAGCGAGCCGGCCACGACCAGGGCGCCGCGGGCGCCATTGCGGATGGCGCTCAAGGTGGAAAAGACGCGGACGCGGGTCTTGGGTCGGGTGGCGAGGGTGATGGCCAGCTCTCGTTGAACCATGCGACTACTCCGCCGACGCGGCTTGCCAGGCTCGCAGTACGGCTCGCCGAGCGAGATGGTGACCCGAGTGAGATGCGGGAGATGATCGAGCGGGACCTCCCGCTCGCGCTTGGCCTGGACAGACACCACGGTGGTCTGCCACTTGTCCAAGTCTTTGCCGTCTACAGGCTTGGGCGGAATCGGCGATTCTTTGTCGACCAGCTCAAAGCCCGATCCGACCTCGTAGGCCCGGACAGCGGCGCGAGGGAGGCCAAGCCGCTCAGTGGCGAGAGTCAGCAGCTCACGCACGGTCCGTGCTGCGAGGCGCACTGCCTTGGCCTTGGCGGGTCCGTAGTTGACGGTGGCAAGAACAACAACTGTTTTGGGCCTCCCGCCGCTTACCAGGCTCGAGTCAAGCGTCAACGGCGGGGCAGCCGTCAACAGGATGGTCGAGTCGTCATCGGGAGCATGCCACGGCTCGCCCATCGAGATCAAGACTTGACTTCCTCGTTCGGCCTCGGCGTAGCTGACGGTCTTGCGAGCCTTGCTGCTCTGCGGGCTCGCCGCCTCGGCAGGATCAGACGGCGTTGCAGCCGCAGCATCGCCCACAATCTCGGTGCCGTTGACCAGAAATGCCCGCCGTGCCGCCGACGGCAGCGCCAGCCGCCGGGTTGCCATCTCCAGCATGGAATCCAGATTGAGTCCAGCAACACGGACCGACCGCCCGGGATAGCCGTTGCGCATGGCGTCAAAGTGCGGCGCACTCGAGCGAACAAGGGTCGAGTCGGGCGAGAGCGGCGTGATGCGGCGCAGAGCGGGGTTGCCTGACTTTTGCGGCGCGTTTTTGGGAACAAACGGCTCACCGGTGGCGACAACCAGCTCGTCTGTATCTGCCACCCGCTCAAGGGCGGCCTCAAAGTCTTCGACACTCGTTTCCTGGTCGAACAGCTTCTCGCCGCTGGGAAGATACACAGTCCGTGCCGCAGTCATGAGTTCCAGGCTCTGGGTGGCAAGATCAAGGAACTTGACCGGGTGTGTTGCAGTGATGCGAGCCACGCGCTCGCGGCGACCGTGCATACCTGTCGTGTTGGCGCGGACCGTGTAGTGTGGGACAGGCGGGACGAGGAGCGGCGACGACGGGCTGATCGGCTTGACCGACGAGCTCGCAACAACGGTGCCAAACGTATGGAACGGTTCGCCGCACGAGACCACCACCGAGGCGCCGTGGTCCAAGTCAGCCAGTGCCGCTGGAACGAGAGGCTTGCCGTCTGCGGTGAAGAACCGCGCGGCCCGGCGCGGGAGCTTGAGCTTGCGGGTGGCATCGTCGAGCAGCGCCTCTACTTCTTGACCGCAGATCCGGGCTGGCTTGATCTGCGGTGGAGCGCCGTTGGGCACGGCCTGAAGCGTGATGGCCTTGCGCGGCTCCAGCCGGGCCGACGGGGCAGCACACTTGTTCCCCCCGGTGCCGGCCTCGCCGGCGTGCGCGGGAGCCTGGCGGCGGTGGACAGGGCCCACCGACTTGCGCGAGAGAGTCGCCACGAGAACATGGGTATCGTTAGGCAGATCATGAAGAGCCACAACCGGTCCTGGAGGTGGGCGTGGGCGCAGATCTCGATGCAGGTCTCGCCGCCTGCGCACGCGCGCTCCCGACTCGTCGCCAGCCTGCTTGTCGATGAGTCGGCGGCCGTCCAGAGTGTACAGTGCGGTAGCCGAGTGCGGAAGGGCCAGCTTCCATGTTGCCGAGTTGAGCAGCTGCAGCACCGATGCACCGATAATGCGAGCGCCATCACCCTTGTACTTGCCATCCGGATGAGCCCGGAGCCTCCTGACCGGGCGAGCGGTGAGCCTGTCCCGCCCCTCGCTGCCCGGCAGCCGCACCATGCGCCGCCCGCCCACTCTGCCACCTGTTCTCCCTTGGTATGCCTTTTCCATCCGCACCATGGCCATATTTCACCTCTCCTGTGCTACAGGCAGCGAGGGTGGCGGTCGAGGGAAAGTGGAGTGTGCTGACTCTGTTCCCTTTACCGGCGGCAGCAACAGCGACACGCAGCCGTCTGCTTCTGCCCACCCACCGCCACCCACCCCAACCCATCCAGCCACCCACCCACACGCTCCTCTCGCCTGGACGAGTACGTACGCAGTTGGAGCGGATGAACATGTCCTTGGCTTATCTGTCTATGGTTGTGGTTGGGGTCGCGGTGGTTCTGATGGTGCCTCCCCTGGTCTCGGCGGCTGTCCGTACAACAACCCCTGCGAGGCTTCATCCTGCAGGTCATCGTCCCGCTGGACTTCATCATCAGCATCGGGCTGGTGCTCATTCTGTGAATGCACCGCCTGCGCCTCCGCAGCTCAACACTACGTCGTTTGCGCGATGCTTGGTGGGGAGCCAGGCCAAGTTTGATCTTGCGGCAGAGGTCAAGGACCACGATCTCGAGGCCTGGGATCTGCTGCTGGTGTGGCTCTCGGTCTATGCTGGCGAGCGGTTCCCGGGCGTCAATGCCACCTTTCAGCAGCCGGCGTACGAGCGATGGAGCGTTCCGTTTTGGGCCGAGGAGAAGGCGTTTGCCATGGCGATGGTGGCGGCTGCCAACAAGGCCGCCAGTCAGACCATGACACCGGGCGAGACGTATGCGATGGCGCTTGAGGCGTGCTCGCCGGGCACTACCTCGCCAAAGGATGCCTTTTGCGCTGCCCTCATCTCGCACAACGTGTTCCGGCTGCTCGGCCGGTACATGAAGAACGTCGACAAGGACGGCGTTGACTTTTCGCCCGACTGGTTTGTGGCCAACAAGACCGTGTGGATCTCGACCTACATTCCGGCCATCCACGATGCGCTCATTGTACTGCGGCGTGACAAGGTGACCGAGAAGTGGGGAACCTGGTACCATCTGCACGGACTGGTTGCGTATGGCCTGCAGGAGATGGCTGTTCTTGGCGTCGAGGCTGGAACCAAGTGGGAGGACATTGTCGTGGCTCTCGACACGCTGCTCAACCCGATCCTGGCCGGCGGACCGGAGGACCCGGTCAAGGCGCGCGAGGACCGCGAGTCGGTGGAGATCGCCGCCCAGCTTGTCGCGCTCGTCTCAGACCCTACACCGCTCCCTCCGTACTCTCCGGCGGCTTGCGCTAGTAAGATCGGCTATGTTCTTGCGCCGTGGGATCCGACCATGTAAACCTACCGTCACCAAGATGCGTTGTTGGCCCGGTGTTGCAGCTTACCGATCGGCATCTTGCTTAGGGCGGGGCGTGGCTTCTCACGAGCTCCTCTCTCTTGTTCCTACTTGTCGCCCTTTCATCGTTTCAAGCTGCCCTCGCTGTGCGCAAGGCGAGTTGGCGGGCCGAGTGTGCTCGGGCTTGCGGTCGTTTGCCTCGTCCTCGTCGCACACGTGTTTACAGTCTGCGAGTCGACGAGCTTGTGCACTTCTCCATTCCCGACCACTATGGCTGCTGATCCGCTTGAGCTTGCCGAGCTGCTGCGGTACCCGAGCTCGTCGTCTGGTGAGCACCGCGCTTCGCTGTTTATTGTCCACGGACTGGGCGACTCCGCCCGCGGGTGGGCGCCTCCTGGGCGACAGCTTGCGGCGGCCTTTCCGGGCCTGCACGTCATCCTTCCCACGGCACCGAACCAGCCGGTGACCATCAACGGTGGTGCTCGCTGTCCGTCATGGTACGACATCTACGGTCTCGGAGCTGACGACAAGATCGACATCGAAGGCCTCGATGCTGCTGCCGCCGCCATCGTCCCGCTCATGGAGGCTGAGGCCGAGAAGGTCGGCTGGGAGAATGTCGGCCTGATGGGCTTCTCTCAGGGGGGTGTCGTCACCCTCCATGTTATGCTCTCGGGCAAAGTGCCCAAGATCGGTGCCTTCATCGCCCTCTCGGCCTATCTCCCGCGCTCGTTTGACGACCACGGCATCCCCAGCGTCGACGACTCGGTCGCCGCCGACTCGTCGCTCCGCACCCCGCTCTTCCACGGCCACGGCGACTTTGATATGGTGGTCAAGTACGAGTGGGGTAAGGCGACCGCCGATCTGCTCACCTCGCTCAATCTGCCGCTCACCTTTGAGACCTATGAGGGCATGGGCCACTCGCTCTGCGACCTCGAGCTCGTCGACATCAAGGCCTTTGTCCGCAAGCACCTCATTCGTGACGACGCCTAGTCACATCAAAGCCGGGGCGGTCCGTAACGCGACAAAGAGTGTGTGATAAATTGCCTGCTTGAGTGGATGACCTCCATTCTTATGCTTTAGCCCAGATCCCATAGCCATGCACCATGTGCACTCGAATGGGTCATGCCCGACTTGCCGCAGGAGACGGGTGACGCGACTTGCCGCAGGAGACGGGTGACGGAGACGGTGACGACAGCGGAGCCTCACTTGTCCCCTCTCTGCCTCTACACCGGCCATGTTCAAGAAGTACGAAGACGTGGGGTGGTTTTGCAAGGGAAAGGGGAAAGGGAGAGGGGAAGGGAAGGGGGGGTGGGGGGGTGGGGGTTTGGGGCGATGATGGCGTTGATGGCTGAGGAGGGGAGCGGAGGGGGGGGGGGGGAGGGAGGAAGGGGGTGACTCATGGGGGGATGGTGGCGTGTATGGGGATAGGATTCAGGTGGGCTCGAGCACGCAGCTCAAGTCGTCTGCTGTGCGTGGGCTCAAGGCGTCTGTTGTGGAGCAGTATCCGGCGCTGGCGCAGATCATCGACGAGATGGTGCCCAAGAAGGGCACGCCTGTGTACTCGATCAAGTGCCAGAACCCGCGCGGGACGCTGTACTCGGTCCGCGATGAGATTCTCTTTGTTCAGCCAAAGAACGACCTCATCTTCCCGACGCTTCGTGTCGCCATGCAGTATCCGGGCATGATGAAGTCGGTGACGGTCGACAAGGGCACCATCCGCGCTGCGCTCAAAGGCGCCAACATCATGGCCCCAGGCCTCACCTCGGAGGGCGGGTCCATCGAGGGCGACATTCCCGCTGGCACACCTGTCGTCATTCACGTCGAGGGCAAGTCGCAGCCTATTGCTGTCGGCAAGATGGAGCTCTCTGCTGATACCATCCGCGCCGAGAAGACCGGCGTGGCCATCATCTCCGTCACCTTTCTCGGCGACGGCTTGTGGAAGCACGAGAAGTGAAGCATAGACACATTGCAGAGCAGCGGGTACGGGGTAGGGCGGGGTGGGGCGGGGTGGGCCAAGAGTGATTCAGGCATGTGTTACTTGCTCCGGTTGTAAGTGAGCAGCTCGTGGACAAGCTCCCGCGAGAGCTCCATTCCCGGCTGGATCTGCTGTATCGTGGCGAGCGCACTCTTTGGGTCGACCTTGTCCAGCTCGAGGAGCAGGCCGGCACAGAGCGCGGCTGCCGACTCGAGACCGGTGACGCCGGCCACGAGAACACGCGCATTCGGCGAACTGGCCGTGGCGCGACGGACAAAGGCTGCGGTGAGAGCAATCTTGGTCGCCAGCGCCAGATTATGGGCGGCAAAGCTGAGCTCGTGGAGCGGGCGTGACGTGCCAGACGCTCGCTCGCGCGGCACGTCCCACACGACGTGGCTCACGCCAAGCACGTCGAGCACCCCGCGCGATGCCGCCGCAATCTCCGACCCCAGATACACTCCGGGCCGGACAAGGACAGGCGCGAGCAGGTGCTGCGAGAACGACGAAAGCGCGGCGGCATCGACGCCGAATGCAGTGGCAGCCGCGGTCGAGGCCCGTGGTGCTGGGTGCGAGCCGGGCGTCCGAGCCCGCTGCTCAAGCTGCTTCAGCGCCGTGCCTGTGGCGGCATCAGGCGCAAAGACAACCTCACGCTCATCCTCACCTACAGGGAGGACGGTGCGCATGCCTGCGGCGTCGGCCGCTCGCCAGGCGACAGCCATCACCACCGAGAGCTCTGCGCTCTGCTCGCGGCTGCTCTGGGACGTGTTTTCGCGCGCCACACGATGGCCGTCGAGCACAGCCGGAAAAACAACCAGAGCACGTCGCACAACCGGAGCAGGGCCCAGATCCGTGTCCCAAAACGGATGCGAGGCAACAAAGGCGGCAAGTGCCGAGAGCGGCCAGCCGGCAAACGAACAGATAATATGGCGGACCCACGAGAGCCCGCGCGGCGGCACCAGATTGACGCTTCGTGCAGGATTGCTTGCCACGTCAACGGCGGCTCTGTCAGCTCCGCCAGGCCCGTGGAACAGGTCGGCGTACGCGTCACGGACCGACGACGCCAGCGTTGATGACCAGACCTGGCGCGATGCCGCGAGTGAGCGGTATTCTGAGACTCGGACCTGGAGCACATGCTCGAGACGCAATGGGTCGAGGTTATCGTTGTGATCGAGCAAGCCACCCAGCCGGGCCTTGGCCACTGCCGCTGCTTGCGCCTGCGCCCGCCACACAACCGCCACCGCAACACCGAGCATACTGGCAGCGGTGCCGTAGACACCGACGGCGATGTGAGCGTCGAATCGCGATGGCTCGGCCCGCATGACCATTGGCTCGGCTGCTTGCAATGCGTCACGGAATAGCTGTGCTGGCGTCGCGTCGGGTCCATACGCTCGGACAATGACCTCGTAGGAGAGGAAGCCCTGCGGGACGGTAAGCTCCTGCTTGGGGTTGCGGAGTGAGGCCTCAAGCGCATCGCAAAACGCAGCGTGGACCTTGCCGGAGATGCCAGCACGGAGGCGGGTGGCAACGAGGGCATCGACAAGCGCGTTGCGTAGGCTGCCGAGCGATGGCGAAGTAAGCAGGGTGTGCGGCACGCAGCGACTTGCAGAGCGCGAGACATCCCGCGCAGTGGCGACGACAAAGCAGAGCACATATGTCCGTCGGCGGCCGGTCTTGTCCCCCGAAGCGCTATCATGGTTAGCGCCATCTCCCAGTATTTCGCCAAGATCAGTGCCCGAGCGGAGGAGAGTGAGCGTTGACTCGAGCTCGTCGAGCGACGAAGTCGACCACGACGACGATGATGACGCAGATAGGGTGGCTGGCGACGACGAGTCAGCGCCGTGCGACGCTGACCCACGGCGGCGGCGGCGCGGTGAGCGACGCCCACGGCGTGGGCGGCGGCGAGCCCGCTTCTTGGCAGCCGACGACGAGCCGGAGCCGTCCGAAGCCTCCTGGCGGTCAGTACAGTCGCCAGCCACGCGATGACCGGCACCCGGCTCGTTGCCGCGAGCGGCATCGGTGCCGGCCAGGCCCGCCACCGAGTCGTCACCTGCAGGCCGCTTGCGGTGGCGGGCAGCAGCGGCAGCGGCAGCGGCAGCGGCCGAAAACACCGACTTGACTGATCGCAGCGAGGGTGGTGCATCCGAGACGGTGGCTCGCCGCGATCGTGAGCGGCGCATCCGGGCGGTCTCGCTCCCGCTCACGTTGAGGTGGGATGCCTCTCTTGCAGTGGCATCACTCTTTCCCGAGCTCTGCGAGCCGGATGGCGAGTCGGAGTCCGCGCTCCCGTTGGAGGACGCTGGCCGCGAGCGTGATGGTGTCTGGCCGCGACCAGACTTTGCACAGTCCGAGTTGGAGCCCGAGGCGCGGGAGCTCGCCTCGCGAGAGCGGGCTGCACGACCCTTGCCCTTACCTCTTTTGCGGCGGCGGCGCCGACGGCGGTGAGAGAGAGTAGCAGTCGAGGCAAAGGCTGTGACGGACGACGATGCATGGGGTGGAGGCCATCAAAGCCGACGACCTTGATGCGCTTTCGGCCAGAGGAGCGAGCCGAGACAGCCTGAAACTTGGCCACACCACCTGCGATGGCATAGACAATGCGGCCGTCAGCCGGTGATGAGCGCGGCGGATGCGCTACCATACTTCCATCCACAGTCGGGGCAGCCGCACCGCCTGTGGCGGCATGAACCATGGTGACGAGGCGCGATGCGAGCTGTGGCGCGACGAGCTGAGCCGGCATGCCGTGAGCCACCACCGGGAGCAGGGCGAGCGAGTCGAGGCCCGGTCCTGCCCTGTTAACTGTCTCATAGAGTGACGCTTGTGAGGGTAGCCGGAGAGTGGGGCCGACTAGCGGGTCTGTTGCCGCCTCGCGGGTCTCCACCACGGCTCGGGCCAGGTAGCTCGCCAGGACCCGGCCGAGAGGTACTGACGCTGTTGCCGCATGAAAGTGCTCGCTCACCACTGCGGCCGCATGTTCGCTGACCTCGTCGAGGAGAGCCTTGAGTGCATGCATGAGTGTGGCAGCGTAGTGTGATGGTGTGGAGTGCGGTGGTGGGGTTGGACCCGGCAGGGGAGGGGAGGGGGGGCGCGCGCGCCGGAGCTGGCGGATCCGATGGCGACGACCGGGTGAGTCAGATTGATCTGTGGTTTGGGTTGTGGCCGGCTATGTGCTGTACGATGGAGGCGGGCCTGCGGGGGGCGGGCCTGCGGGGGGCGGGCCTGCGGGGGGTGGGCCTGCGGGGGGCGGGGTGGCTGTGGGCGGGGTGGCGGCTGCTTCCAAAGCGCGGATCTCGGCCTGGACAGCAGCGATGGAGGCATGGGTGGCAACAAGGTCATCAGAGAGCGAGGCAACATGGCGGAGGACCGAGGAAAAGAGGGTCTCCGAAGCTTCAGCCGAGGCAGCGAGCGGGGCGGTGGCGGCAGCGAGGGCACCTGCAACGCCTGCATCGCGTGGGAAGAGCGACGACGCGCTCAGCGCTGCGTACTCTGCGTTGGAAGAGTCAACAAGGTTAGTGACAGGTGCACGGACCATGACTGGGGTGCCGGTTGCCGGATCGAGCGAGTAGACGGCATAGGAGACGTCATGGATGGCGGCCGATGCGGCAGTTCGCAGCAGGACCAGCAGCGGCGGCGGAGCGTCCGAGTCGAGCTCCTGAGCGAGGCCCGCAAGGACGGCAGTCTCGCGTAGGGTGGGGGTGAGCGGAAGGCCCTTGCGCGCGCGCCACCAGCCGACACAACACAGACCAGGCGATGCCTCTGTCCGTGCGGCGCGTGCGTCTTCGAGTGCGTTGCCATCGATGGCGCCCGAGGGGCGATAAAAGGAGAGCGAGGAACCGGTCGGAAGAACAGAGGCCACGGTAGTCGTTGCCAGACTAAGCGTTGACTCGCCTGCTGTCACTTGTGCCGCCGTGGTGTCGTCCGTAAGCGCCGTAGCCGATCGGACCGTCCGCGAGCCAAAGAGCAGGCCCTCCACCGGCGCCATGGGTCCGCCCGAGGCGGCCACGGCGGCAAAGAGCAAACCCGAGAGTGCCGCCCCTGTCAGCTGTATCCTGCTATCCTCTCTACCGGCCATATGTATGTGTGTATGTGTATGTGTATGTGTATGTGTGTGTGTGTGGTGGGGTCGGGTGTGTGGCTGTTCGCCTCAGGAGGTGGTGTGCTCTCCTGTTCAAAGAGCTGGATCATGGAGGCGAACATTGGATCATGGAGGCGAACATTGAGTCGGACCTTGCGCAACGGGATCGGCTGCATGTAGGCCGCCATCGAATGGCAGAGGCTTTGGCTTTCGCAGCGGGATCGGCTGCAAGTAGGCCGCCATCGAATGGCAGAGGCTTTGGCTTTCGCAGCGGGATCGGCTGCATGTAGGCCGCCATCGAACGGCAGAGGCTTTGGCTTTCGCAGCGGGATCGGCTGCATGTAGGCCGCCATCGGATGGAAGGCCGTGGCTTTCATAGTGGAATCGGCTTCTCCTGGATGGACTGGCTCAATCGGTTGACCAGAAGCCATCTGTACAGGTCCTTTTCCGGCTGGCAGTGGCCCGAGGGCGCGTGCCCGTGCCACACCACTCGCCGCAGCAGGCACGCCAGCCGACACCACCCTCACCGCCCCACAGCAGCAAGGCAGTGACATGCAGGTCCAGCAAGTGGAGAGCAGGGAAGATGGTGAGAGAGCGAATGGAGTTCCCGGTGGGGAGCAAGAGTATAGGGTGTACACGCGACGGTGGGCCATGCTCGCCCTCTTCTGCATGCTCGGACTGATGTGCTCGCTGCTGCAGATGACTTACGCAGCTGTGCAAGACATCTCGCGGCTCTACTACGGCGTCTCTACCACAGAGATCAATCTCATGGCCACGTCGTACATGCTGGCTTTTCCGCCCTTTACCCTCGCTGCTGCCTATGTCCTCCATGTCTCCTCCCTCCATGTCTGCCTCTCCATCGGCATGGCTTTTATGGCCGCAGGCACATGGCTGCGATGGATCGGCGCCACGCCCAACGGCTTCATCTGGGCTATCACGGGTCAGTCGCTCACCGCCATTGGCCAGCCTTTCATCGTCTCGACCATGACCATGTTTTCGGCCTCGTGGTTCGAGCCGGAGCGCCGAACTCTCGCCACTACCTTTGCCTCCTTCACCAACGTGCTTGGCTCGGGCGTGGCGTTTGGCATGAACCCAGCCATCGTCAAGACAGGCTCGCAACTCAAGGATCTGACCTTTGGCCAGGCCGTCTTCACCTCGGCCCTTGCCCTCGCCACCTTTATCTTCTTCCGCTCCCGCCCGCCGACGCCGCCGTCGCCGGCCGCCGACGCCGCCGACTCGGGCAAGGCCGTGACCAAGGCTGCCGCCCTCGAGGCTGCGCCGCTGCTCGGCGAGCAGGCCACACAACCGCGAGCGACTCCGGGCTACAAGTCGTTGCTCACCAACGTCAACTTTCTCATCATCCTGCTGCTCTTTGGCCTGGGCTTTGGTGCCTTCCAGTCGTACCTCACCGTTCTCAACCAGATCCTCCTCCCCGAGGGCTTCACCACCGAGGAGGCCGGTAACGTCGGAGTGTGCGTCATCGGTGCCGGCCTGTTTGGCGCCTTTGCCGCCGGTGCTGTTCTTGATGCCACCCACGCCTTCCGGCCCATCATCATTGCCGCGCTTACCGGTCTCCTTGGCTCGCAGTGGTGGCTCTTCCTTCGCCTCTCGCACATGTCGGTCATCGAGCTCTACGCCTGCTCCGCCGCCTCTGGCTTTTTGTCCTCGCCATGACGCCCGTCTGTCTCGAGCTCGCGGTCGAGGTCACTTTTCCGGTCCCCGAGTCGGCGTCCAACGGCCTGATGTATATGATCGGTACCGGCTCGGCGTTTGTCCAGGTCCTTGCCCTCGACGCGCTTCAGGATCCACACCCGCCGCGCAAGATGACCAACTCGCTCTGGTTCCTTGTCATCGAGTGGACCGTCCTTTACCTCCTCTCGTTCTTCATCCGGCCCAACTATCTCCGTCGCGAGCACGAGCTTGCCCAGGCCAATGCTGCTCTCGCTGCGCCCGTCGGTTCTGGTACGAGTCCTGCGCCGGCGGTTGCCGCTGCCACACCTGACCCACCGACCGGCCCAAGCCTGGCCACCGCTGTGGCGGTAAACACGTGACGTCTGGAGTCTTCACACACACACACACCATGTTTCTCCACCGTCGCGCTATGACCATGCTTGTTGCGGTGGTACTCGTTGCAGCCACTACCACCACCACATGTGCCGCTCCGGCTCCTCCTCCCAGTGGCGTCTTCCCGCTGGTCGGCGGCTCGACTCGGCACGCGGCGAGCGACTACGCGGCGCTCAAAGCCATGGGCGCCAACGGAGGGCGGGTGTACGCATCATGGGCGTATATCGAGCAGAACGTGACTAAGAGCCTCAACACTTCGCTCACACTTGCTGATGTCGTCGCCCGTCCAGAGCTGGCCGACGCTTGGGCTGCCTCGCCGAACGTGGTGTGGACTGAGGTCGATGGTCGGGTGGCCGACATGGCTGCTGCCGTGCCCCACGTCGTGCTGCAGGTTGGGGGAGGCGCCACCAACTCGTTGCCGCACTACGGCGCCGACGATATTGCCGACCCGAACGTCATCGGCGCAGAAGTCTACCTGGCGTACATGTACATGACGTCGTTCGCTTGCGCGAAGCGGTACGTGGCGTCGGGCGTGCACCTATACCAAATCGAGAACGAGCTCAACGAGGCGTATCTGGCATCGATCGCCGGCCAGCGGCGTCGGCAAGTCCTCGGCTCGCTGTGGCGCGACTGGGACTTTCTCACCCGGCTCCTCGGCACTCTCAAGGCCGCAGTCGTTGCCGGGCACGCGGCCGGCGCCGCCGAGCTCGGCGAAGCCGCGCGGACCGCGCTCTCTCCACCCATGGTAACCCAGAATGTCCACACCGACGTCGCCAAGTGGGTTCATACCGTCCTGGACCTCAAGGGCTTCTATACCGATGCCATTGCGGCGTGGGCGCCGATGCTCGACTGGGTCTCTATGGACGCGTACCCCAACATGGTGGTGGCGACGCCGTGCCTGGCTTCGGTGGTTGGCGAGCGGGTCAAAGCCGCCCGCAGCGTGCTTGCCACAATCGGGCAGGCTGACAAGCCGGTGATGATCATGGAGACTGGCTATCCGGTCTGCGGTGCTGGATGCAACGCATCGACGACGTTCCCGGCCGCCGCCAACTACACTCAGGCGAACCAGGCGTCGTGTGTGGCAGCGACGGTTGACGCTGTCTTTGCCAACGGCGGCCTCGGGTTCTTCTTCTTTACCATCTCGGCCACGCCGGGCATTGTCCCGCCACCCGGCGGTTACACTGCTGAAGACGTGTCGGCACTGAACATGATCGCAGCGCTTTACGAGAACCACGAGGACCCAGTTGTCCTCCTCGAATGGATCTTTGGCAAGGGCCACGTCAAGTACCTCGAGTCGAAGCGGTTTGCTGACATGATCGGCGGCATTGCCTCTGCGCTTGGCGCGCTTGACGCAGACGGCCACCCGCGGCCGGTTGTAGATGCGCTGCGTGCAGCGTATGCCAAACACCGGTGAGGCTGCTATGTCTCCGAGTCGGACGACGAACACTCGCAGGTCGTCTCTGAGAACGACTCGGCGAGGTCGGCCACGCGCGCAGCCTCATCACCGTCGTCGTTGTCGCCCGATACCGATCCGGCATCGGCTTTGTCGGCAAGGTGCGAGACCATGTCCGACATTGCGGCTAGCGTGGTGGCGAGCGAGGTGCGGTCGGGTAGCGGCGGGAGGGCGGCGATGGCATCGTCGCGCGAGACGGCAGGCGACGCTGGCGACCGAACAGTCTGTTGCGGCACTCGCGGAGCCGTCAGCGGCTGCGTCGAGTACTGCGAGCGGAGTGAGGCAAGCGTCCGTGTCATGGCTCTGTTGTCTGCGGCGAGCGAGCGGACTCGTGTGGCGAGCTCGACGTTCTCGGCCATGATCTCCAGCGGTGCCCGCGGCGGCTTGTGGCTCGACTCGGCCTGGCTCATTGCCGATCTCCCTGTGGTGGCACGGAGCACTTCCAGCTCGAGCATTGCATCAGCATGCGCGGCACTCAGCTTAGCCACCTTGTCTTCCAGCACCTTGTTGCGTTCGTTCAGCTTTTCGTTGGCGAGCATGAGGGCCTCGACCTGCATGAACGACGGCGCTTGAGCCGCATCTGGATCGTAGACGGATGAGTGGCGATAGATGGAAGGGAGAGGAGGGAGAGGAGGGAAGTTTGAGGCACATCTTCCCATGGGAGATCTCTGTGGCGTACATTCTCTCAACGGCTCATGATGTTTTGCGATGTATGCATCAGCGGCGGCAAGTCGGGAGCGCAACCGGCTTAGTTCGAGGAGGAGCTCTGCCCGCGACGCATGCTCATCGGCATGGGCCATGGAAGCCATAGCCAACCACAATGGTGCCTACGCAGGAGAAGGAGGATAAGAGGGAGGTGAGGGAGGAGAGGGCGAGGCGAGTGAGGAGTTGGCGCTGGCACTGGCGGTGGCTGCGTGGGCGGTGGTCGGCTGCGCGGGCGCCAACCATATGGCTGGTGTGCCAGCAGGTGGCCGAGAGCGAACAGGCGTACGCTGCTCTTCGGACTTGGGGGACAAAGATAGGATGAGCGGGCGGCGAAGCGCGGGGCGGAGCGGCGGGCGGAGCAATGGAGGCGGGCTTGGCGGGAGTGGAGGAGGTGGCGGAGGTGGCGGGCGACGGGCGCGCGGACGAGGCGGCCGGAGCGGAAAGGGTGGCGGAGTTGGTGGAGGTGGCGACGGTGGTGGTGGTGGTGGTGGTGGTGGAGGCTCGCTGGAAGAGCTGGATGACGGGACAACGCCGCTGGAGGAGATCAGAGCGCGGTTCTCGCCGGCGCAGATGAAGGAGGTCCGCTCCATCTTTGCACTGCTTGCCGGCGACGACGGGACGATCGGGAACAACGACCTGATGGCGGCTATGGTCGACGTAGGTACCGATCCTTCCGAGGCCGAGGTCTCTGATCTCATTCTCTACGCCTCGTCGACGGAGAACATGTCGGGCAGGCTGACCTTTGACGACTTTCTCCGCTGCATGGCTGGCCTCTACTTTGACGACTCATTCGAGGCCGGCACGTTGTGATCGCTCTGCATAGCCCGGGCCAAGAGGTTGGATCTCGTGCGATGATGCGACTGCGCTGCGTTGCTTTCGAGGCTAGTGGCGACGTATGAAATGAACCACCGTACCGTCCGGGCACATGGGGAGGAAAGGGGAGGGGGAGGTGATCGTGAGTGACTTGGGGTAAGGCCCGTGCATGTGTGTTCCCCTTCACCGCATCAACTTTGGGTGATGGTCGATGGACGACTAATGGCCACATCATGATGACACGTCGCCGAGCGTTGAGGAACCTTTGGGCGCCTGCCGCCTGTTGCCCGCCGCCTGTCGCCAGCCGAAGGCACTCGACTCTTGTTGATTCGCTTGTTCGTTCATTGGTTGTATTATGTCCGAGTCGGTTGTGTTCGAGGTCAACTTTGAGCCCAAGTCCCCGACACGGGGCAAGACAGCTGTGCAGAAGCGGCTGGAGGCATGGTCTCCTTCGCGGGTCTCCAAGGACCCGTCGGTGCTCGCTGAGGAGCTCTCAGCCTCGCTTCGGAAGGCCGAGCTCGCCCGCCAGGTACGCATGCGTGAGTGACACGTCGCATCTTCGTAGATTGTTCCACAGTCCCGGGCTCCCGACGCAGCCGAGGGTGCGGGTATGGTGGGTGGTGGTGCGAGAGAGGGGGCAGTGGGGAAGATTGGTATGAGGGGGCTGGTATGGGCGGGGCGTAGAGCTGGATGGCGGGAGCATGGGTGTAGTCGGGGGAGGGTTGGTGCGGGACACGGTTTTGGCGCGAACCAGGACTTATCAACGTTTCGCGCGCTTTTTGGAGGTAGAGCCACCTCGAGGCACGGGTGGAGAAGAACAAGGCGCGGCACGAGAACATTGTGCGTGCGCAGTTTGAGGTCAACGCGGCGCGCGAGGAGCGTGTGGCGGCGCTGGAGGCGTCGCTGGCGACCAAGCTGGAGAAGGTCGAGACGCGGCGGGCTGCGCTGCTGGCGGCGGAGAAGACTCGGCTGGCGTCGCATTCGATGCAGGTCGATGTTGCCAAGGCCGCGGTGGCCAGCAAGCTCGACGAGGAAGCCGAGGCTAAGCGCGCGGCGTCGGTGGCCGCCGTGGAGGGGGCTGCCCAGCGTCGCGACGCCATGCTCGCCCTCAAGGCTGCCAAGGCCGGTCTCGAGTTCGAAAAGTCGATCTCGGCCGCGGCGCATGCCAAGGCCGAGCGGGCCAAGGAGCTCTCTGCCCGCCGCGAGAACACCGACGCTGCGCTGGCCGCCGCCGAGGAGCGTCGCATCGAAGCGCTCGCTGCCCGCCAGGGCTCCGCTGCTGCCGACGTCGAGCACGCCATGGCCGTTGCCGAGATGCAGAGGGCCAAGGCCAAGCTCAATGCTGCAAAGGTCATCGCCGACTCGCAGTCGGCCATGATGCAGGCTCAGGCCAACCGTGACGCCGCACAGGCCGCCAAGCTCGCCAAGCTCGCCGACCACGACGCACACGTCACCGCCGTCCAGGACCGCAAGGCCCAGCTCGAGGCGACCTCCGTGTAGCCGGCCACCCTGTTCTCCCCCCGGGTGGTGGCGGTATGAGAGAGCGTTTGCGCGTATATCAAGTAGTTTGTCCTCAACTTTATGTAGATGTAGTGGTACACGCCGGTTGGAGATCAAGAAGGAGAACCTGGAACCTGGAGCTCCAGAAGTGCGAGGTCAAAGTTGATATGAGCTGGTCTCCGACTCGCGCACTCGCGCCACCCCCCCCCCCCCCCGCCACATACACACACAAACATACACTCAGACATACCGCAGGGCAACGTCTCTGTGTACCTACGTGCATCGGAGGTTGTAGACGGCGTTGCGTCGTCGCACGTCGTGCTTACTGTGGGCGAGTGGAAGGCCGTCGTCGGCGCCGACGCGTGCTCGTTCCATGAGACGTTCGACGCGGCGCGCAAGACGAGCGAGGCGCTTGCGGAAGAAGGCGGCCGCGACCGCCGAAAAGAGGGCGCGAGAGGAGCTTGCTGACGCCAAGGCCGAGGCTGAGGCGGCGCGCGCCGCGCTCATGGCTGCTGAGAACGTCAACAAGGTGGCGCAGGCCGAGGGCCACTCCGCGCGAAAGAAGACGACGGCGACGACGCGCGGGCTGGCCACGAGCGTGAAAAGGGCGAGCGCAGACGTCGGCGCTGTGTCACTTTGAGACGCGCGACAACGCGTCCGAACGACCGCACCGTCAAGGGCCAACCCTTTATTGTGAACGTATCACACCAGGTCAACTTGGCCCCGGCCTGTACCCGACCTGTAGCAGCAAGTCTGCGATCGAGCCACTCACGACGCCGGAGAACGGCGGCTCGGGGGCAGCAGACGCCTGCTGCTTCTGCGGTGGAGGTTGCCATTGTTCGCGCTCCCGTGACCGTGCGCGCGAGCTGGCCTGACTATCGCCCTGCCGCCCGCGCTGGCTCCGCGTTGTCGGCGCAGCCGATGCGGCCGATGTCGGCGGAGGGCGGGTCGATGGCCGCTTCTTGGCAGGAGCAGCATGACTTGTAGGCCTCTCGCCGCTGCTCCCGCGACTACTTTTTGCATGTGCAGCGACAAAGGCCTTTGCCTCGGCGTGTGATGAGAAGCCCTTGAAGCGTGCGCCCGGGAAGCCCTTGACCAGCGGCTCGACCTCGGACCACGGCTGGGCAAAGACGCCGACCTTCCAGCCCTTGGCCACGGCGTAGACTTTCTTCTTGCTCTTGCGGCCCATGGTATCAGCCCTTGTAGGCCCTCTCTCTACGCCGGCTGTCGACAAGTGCCTCTGCCCTATCCCTCTACCCCTTGCTCGCATTGTGGTCATCTGGCCCAAGTTGCCGCGATAGACCCAGACCTACCCCACCCATCACCACCATCATCATCACCACCATCATCACTCCCTCCCTCCCTC